AAGGTCTCAAGTATTTGTAACCTGTGAAAAACATATCATCATAAATGTGTATTGATCAAAGAACACGAACCGGCTACTCTTTCTCGTTCTGACTCGGTGAGTCGAGCCGCGAACCCGTTGAAACTCCTCTTGTAACTTCTCACCAAACGTCCTTCGATCGAACTACAGTATACATGTGTATATATCACTTGTTATAATCCTCATCATAATGTAAGCTAATTATGACCAATCATTGATTAGAGAATGAAATTATAAAAGCACACCTTTCTCCGGTGACTTCTTGAAGAATACTCATATGATGCGACATTGGTGTGTATTCCAGTCGAGACGGAAGTGAGCCCATGTAGACAACATACACCTTCTGAATTACATCATCATTATCATCATGTATGATGGATCGTATACTAGAGAGAAACAATATATATTTGATAATGATAATACTCGATAATCTTAAGTTATGCTAACTCACTTTTTTATCTTGAGAATCATCTGTCACTGCAGAGCCTAAAATCAAAAACGAGACAAGAACACATGATATGAAACAAAAGGAATCTGCTCGTTTCGCCATCTTTTTCTTATAAAATGAATTAAAGGTTGTCTAATTTCTCAGCTTTATCTAGATCAACATGATATAAATATAAAACCAGTAAATTACCATAATTTTAATGATATTTCTGTCAAATGCTTAATGCTGTCCTTGTATGTTGACCAAAACTCTTTTGGTAACTAAGTATTGTATGTTGACCAAATACATTTTTAGGAAACAGATATCATTAGAACTCAATTTTGTTTTTGTTTTTTCAACTCCTTATGAAAATCATTTTTTTTTACAACTGATTTTTTCTCGATCGTTAAGGACTTTATTTTTATTTTGCATTATATAATGACATAATCAGAAAACAGATATGGAGTAAACATTTTTTTTGAAGAAATATATGAACAGCAAAATATTATGATATGATTGATGACTATATGGTGAACTGATAATGCCTCATCAGTAACTATCACTGTACACGACAATAGGGCTTCTCACGTTATGTGTTCCATCAGACCATATTAGATTTGCAGACGAAGGCAGTTCTGGGTCGAGATTGCTGCCCGAAACAGTCACTGTGAAAGACTGTTTCTCCTTCACCGACTTCATAGAAAGGACACTAGGCGAAACCTTGACATTGAGCTTAGATCCATGATTTAAGACAATCTTTGATTTGTATGTAGAGTTGGTGGTACCGAGGTTGGTGACGGTTCTTTTGAAAGTCACGGTGAAGGAGCTATTAGATCCCGAAAGTTTAGCTGACATCGAAGGATAGTTGAGGTTTCTTTGTAAGGTTTTTCCACTACAAGTGACGACTTCACCTGAAATTAGTTTTAGGGTTTTCGAAGTGTAGTTTAAGCCGCAGAGAAAGGCGATGTGGTCTGTTTTGTCCAACTCATAGACAAGTCCAGGATTTAGAGCGGCTACTGGGTCGACATGGCCAGCTCCATAAGCAAACTCGGTCGATGTAGCCTCAGTTCCAGTCGCATTCATCCGCCAAGCTGCAAAGATTCATTAAGAGACAGTATAAGAACAGAGTTGTCAACAAACGTTACTTGCGAGGCAAGAAAGTAAAAGTTGGCTTTTTGATTACCGGTTGTCATGATGGCAGATTGGATTACGGAAGGAGACCATTCAGGATGAAAAGTCTTGATGTACGCAGCCACGCCTGCAACGTGTGGACAAGCCATAGAAGTTCCAGACATAATAGAGTACTTTACATGTCTTTCATCGCTCCTGTCGTCAGATGGTGAACTCAAAGGTGAATACGCAGCGAGAATCTCCACTCCTGGTGCTGATATATCTGGCTGCAATCCATGCACCAACCATCGTCTCTCAGGCCAGGAAAGAAAAAAAAAGAATCAAGAGCATAAAATAAATTATACCTTAAGAATATCAACTGCAATAGTGTTTGGACCGCGAGAAGAGAAGGAAGCCACTTTAGGAGATGACTGATTAAAGATTGCTTCAGTTTTAAGAACAGACCCTTGCGGGGACCTGAAAAAACAATCACAAGGGTTGGACAAAGAAGGAGAATGTTAAGAGGAATGAAATAGAGAGAAGATTGTTATCTACCTTGTGGAGTTAATGTAAGAGACGAGAGAGTCAAAGTCATCTTGTGATAAAACAGAGAGGGGCCGAGAGCTAATGGATGCAAAGTCTCTGTTGTCTGTAGTTATGGATGCAACAGCTACTTCTGACCTAGTTGAATATCTGGAAACCAAGATCTTTCCTTTCACCAGAGATTCTTTCAAATAATCTCCGTACACAAGAGGATACTTCTTTCCTTTCAGATCAAAAGCATTCACTGATTTCCCCTGTTAAGAAAAACAATAGAGTTATTGGTAGTTTAATGGGACAAAGATACTATGATGATAGAAATGAGTGTTACTTGATACTTACAACAAGTGTCTTGCCATTTCCAAGAACAACTTTGGTTAAAAGCCTACGGTTGGTGGTGGTAGCTGCAACCGATAACACCCACGGTGCTACGCTCACAACTGTGCTCGGATTCGGACCAGAGTTACCGGCTGAGTGCACTGTGAGAATCCCTTTGGCCATAGCGTGAAACGCCCCGATCGCAATCGTGTCCTCTTCATATAAGGAGGGGTTATCTCCCCCCAGAGAGACGCTGATGAAGTCAACACCGTCTGCAATCGCATCATCAAACGCAGACAGTACGTTATCATCGCTACACCCTGTCATGGTGCAGACTTTGTAAGCTGCGACTCTAGAGGCTGGAACACCGCCTCTCGCTGTTCCATTGCCTATTCCAAAGAAGCTTGTATCCACAACTGCGTTTCCAGCCGCTGTGGACGCTGTGTGAGTACCGTGTCCTTGGAGGTCCCTAGTACCTTCACTTGTGTAATCTCTTGCCCCGATTAACTTACTGAAACAATGTAAGCACATCAATCTCTGCCTAAAACATTACTAATCTTCTATTAGAGAAATTTAATGACTTACTTATTGCACGTGAAGTTTTTGCCGCCTGAACAAACACCTTTCCATTTCTTAGGAGGAGGACCAAAGCCTTTATCAGAGAAGCTCTCGGATTCTGGCCAAATCCCACTGTCGATGACTCCGATAATAGTATCACTCTCTACGGCCAAGTTTGGCTTTGTATTCTTCCCTTCCTTCATTCCCATGAAGTCCCATGACGCCGTCGTTTGGAGTTTGTAGTTCTTGCTCGGGAACACAGACACAACTCCCTCCATTTCTAACCAACACAAAAAAGTATTTTAACCTTTAGAAACATTTCATCATAAAATGTGTCTTGATCAAAGAACACTAACCGGCTACTCTTTCTCGTTCTGACTCCGTGAGTCGGGCTGAGAAACCATTGAAACTCCTTTTGTAACTTCTCACCAAACGACCTTCGATCGAACTAGAGTATAAATATGTGTATATCACTTGTTATAATCCATATAACGTAAACTAATTATGACCAATCATTGATTAGAGAATGAATTAATAAAACCAAACCTTTCTCCGGTGACCTCTTGAAGAATATTTATGTGATTCGACATTGGTGTATAGTCTGGTTGAGACGGAAGTGAACCCATATAGACAACATACACCTTCATGGATTATCATCATCATAATTATCATCATGTATGAAGGATCGTATAATAAGGAGAAACAAAATATATTGACAATGATTATATATAGATTTAAATACTTGTTTATCTTGAGGATCATCTATGATTGCTGAGACTGAACTCAAAAACAATATAATGAGACATGGGAGGAGACAAAAGGAAGCTCGTTTCACCATCTTTTTCTTATGAATGAATAAACTTTCAAATGATATGGAGATCGAAAGGATGTACAAATAGTAGAATCATATTCCTAAACCGTGTCAAGAATAAAATCCTAATTAAATACCTCTGATTTTGTTTCTTTACTTTTTAATTATAAGAAAAACTAGTATTACCATATATTAATGATTATCTGTATCAAATGGTATCATATTCATATGGTAGGATATGAGTCAATAAAAACTAGTATTACCATATCCTAATGGTATTTCGTATCAAATGGTATGTCGATAAAATAGAATGGTATCATTGTAGTTACATATTAATGACCTTGTAAGGTCAAAATGGTATGTTATATGGATTGGTATCATTGTAGTTACATCTTTAGGAAACATATCTATTGTTTTATTTTATACATTTGGTCAGAACTAAAATTTCTTTTATATATTTTTTTAAATTTTTTACCGAAATATATATATATATATATATATATATATATATATATATATATATATATTAAAACTGAATTATTCTTGCTTTCATTTTTTTCTAATACTAAACAAATATGAGAATTAGAAAAGAAAAGAAACATTTAATAACACAAAACAAATGTGGATTAGTAGTGGCTAATGATTGCTTGCGATTAATACACAAATAAACCGTGGCTATTCGTAGCCAAGAGCTACTGATATTTCGTAGCAAAATGTTATAAATCGGTTTCCATCCAGTTTACTGGTTATCGGTTAAGTTTCTCCAAAATTTTACAACTTTTGCTGAATTTCTAAAAGGTTCCGAGTCTAAGTCCGTACATTCTCTCAAATGATTTATTGTGCATGTTAGCGTTAGTAACATTGTATTTACATTTTTTAAAAACACATTGGTTTAATTTGCCTCATCTATTTTGAACTCTACTTCTTTCGTTTTTTTGACTTCCTGCCGCAAATGAATGTCTTTATTACAACTTTTGTTTTCTTGAGACTTGAGATGATCGTTAGAAAGAGAAAGCTTAAACTAATCAATTTATTTATTTATTTTAGGATATAGGGATGAATTTAATTCAAGTAAATGCAAAGCTCTGAAACTGTGATCTAAGAAACACAAAAACCAATCATCAGAAAAAATTGAAACACAAATGTAGAATAAAGAAACACATCGGCGATTCGGCGACAATATAATGATAATGATGAATATGGTAAACTAATAATGCCTCACGAGTAATCACCAATGTAGACAACAATGACACTTCTCACGTTATGTGTTCCATCAGACCAGATTAAATTTGCAGATGAAGGAAGTTTTCGGTTGAGATTGTTGCCTGAAACAGTTACCGTGAAAGACTGATTCTCGTTCACCCTTTTAAAAGAAAGAACATTAGGCGAGACCTTAACATTGAGCTTAGCTCCGCGGTTTAAGACGATCTTTGATTTGTACGTAGAGTTGGGGGTACCGAGGTTGGTGACGGTTCTTTTGAAAGTCACGGTGAAGGAGTTATTAGAGTCATAAATTTTAGCTGACATTGAAGGATAGTTGAGGTTTCTTGGTAAGGTCTTTCCACTGCAAGTGACGGCTTCACCGGCGATGAGCTGAAGGGTTTTCGAAGTGTAATTCAAGCCGCAGAGAAAGGCGATGTGGTCGGATTTGTCCAGTTTGTAGACAAGTCCAGGATTAAGAGCGGCTATTGGGTCGACATGTCCAGCTCCAGAAGCAAACTCGGTTGATGCAAGGACATCGGTTGATGCGAAGCCAGTTCTATTAGCATTCATTGGCCAAGCTGCAAAGATAAATAAAGAGACTTTATAAGAATGAGTTTTGCAAACAGAGGTTACGAGGTTATGTGTTTTGTTTACCGGTTGTCATGATGGCAGATTGGATCACGGAAGGCGACCATTCAGGATGAAAAGTCTTGATGTACGCAGCCACGCCTGCAACGTGTGGACAAGCCATGGAGGTTCCGGACAAAACAGAGTACTTTACATGTCTTTTATCGCTCCCTTCCTCAGATGGTGAACTCAAAGGTGAATAGGCTGCGAGAATCTCCACTCCTGGTGCTGATACATCTGGCTGCAATCCATCCACCAACCATTGTCTCTCAGGCTAGGAAATAAAATAAAAAACAGAATCAAGAGCATAAAAAATATTATACCTTAAGAAGATCAACGGCGACGAAGTTTGGACCGCGAGAAGAGAAGGAAGCAACTGTAGGAGCTGTCTGATTAAAGAATGCCTCAGTTTTAAGAAAAGATCCTTGTGGGGACCTGAGAAAACAAACACAGAGGTATCAGGACAAAGAAGGAGAATCTAGAGATAATAGCGAGAAGACAGTTAGATACCTTGTGGAGTTAATGTAAGAGACAAGAGAGTCAAAGTCGTCTGGTAGTAGAAGAGAGAAGGGCTTGGAGCTAATGAAAGCATAGTATTGGTAGCCGTCTCTAAGTATGGATCCAACAGCTACTTCTGAACTAGTTGGGAATGTGGAAACCAAGATCTTTCCTTGCACAAGAGATTCGTTGAAATTAGCTCCGTAGACAAGAGGATACTTCTTTCCTTTCAGATCAAAAGCATTCACTGATCTCCCCTGTCAAGACAAAAGGATATTTTAAAGGACAGAGCTACAATGATGACAAGAAATAAGAGTGTTACTTGAATACTTACGACAAGTGTCTTGCCGTTTCCCAAAACAACTTTGGTGAAAAATCCACGGTTCGTGGTGCTGGCTGCAACAGTTAACATCCACGGTGCTACGCTCTCAATTGTGGCAGGAAACGGACCCGAATTACCGGCTGAGTTCACAGTAAGAATCCCTTTGACATTAGCGTGAAAAGCCCCAATCGCAATTGCGTCCTTTTCGTACTTGTGGGGATAGCCTGGGGCGATAGAGATGCTGATGAGGTCAACACCGTCTGCTATCGCATCATCGAACGCTGATAGTATAGATTCCGAGGTACAATTCCTCTCGGAACAGACTTTGTAAGCTGCGATTCTAGAGGCTGGAACACCGCCTCTAGCCGTTCCATTACCGATTCCATAGAAACTTGTGTTCGCAACTGCGTTTCCAGCAGCTGTGGACGTTGTGTGAGTACCGTGCCCTTGGAGGTCCCTAGCACCTTCGCTTGTGTAGTCTCTTGCTCCGATCAACTTACTGAAACATTGTCAACACATCAATCTCTGCTTAAAACAATACTAATCTTATATTAGAGAAATTTAGTGAATTACTTGTTGCAAGTGAAGTTTTTGCCGCCAGAACAAACACCTTTCCATTTCTTAGGAGGAGGACCAAAGCCTTTGTCCGAAAAGCTATCGGATTCCGGCCAAATCCCAGAGTCGATGACGCCGATGATAATATCACTCTCTATGGCTAAGTTATGCTTTGTATTCTTTCCTTCCTTCAACCCCAAGAAATCCCAAGACGCCGTCGTTTGGAGTTTGTAGTTCATGTTCGGAAACACAGACACAACTCCCTCCATTTCTAACAACACAAAAAAAGGCTTTAAAATTTTTAAAACATTTCATCTTAAAATGTGTCTTGATCAAAGAACACTAACCGGCTACTTTTTCCCGTTCTGACTCAGTGAGCCGGGCCGCGAAACCGTTGAAACTCCTCTTGTAACTTCTCACTAAACGACCTTCCACTGAACTATAGTGTATATCACTCAGTGATTATTATAACGTAAGCTTATTATAACTAATCAATGGTTAGAAAATGAATAAATTAAATCGCACCTTTCTCCGGTGACTTCTTGAAGAATACTCATATGATGCGACATTGGTGCGTATTCTAGTTGAGACGGAAGTGAGCCCATGTAGACAACATACACCTTCATGGATTATCATCATGTATATGATGGATCGTATAGTACTAGATCAGAGAAGCAATATATATTGATAATGATTATATAGAGATTAATATACTCGGTAATCTTATGAGAACTCACTTGTTTAGTTTGAGGATCATCTATGATTGCTGAGACTGAACTCAAAAACAAGACAAGGAGACAAAAAAAATCTGCTCCTTTCGCCATCTTTTTCTTACAAAACGATATTAACGGTTAAAAACTTTCAATTTTTTTTTTATGTATAAATATTAAATAGTTGACTCATGCCTAAACCGTGTCAAGGAAAAAATCCTCTAATTAAATCTCTCTGATTCTGTTTCTTTATTTGTAAATTACGATAAGAATAACCATTACCAACTATAGTAGATTTTAGATTCACCAAAAAAAAAAACAACTGTATAGTAGATTTTAGTGATGATAATTGTATCAAATGGTATATATATCGTTGTATATTGACCAAAAGTCCAAAACTTGATTCTTGTTAATTACAATAATACTTAGTATTACTTTGAGTTTGACTGGTACTGTCAGATAAATAACACATAACACAATATAACTGTTAACGAACGAAATGGATAAAATTTCGTAGAATAATTATAAAACGTTGAAAAGTTAGCTTATGTTGATTAATCGTGTTATGTCTTTTCTTTATATTTTTAATACGCAAGTGGTATATAGCGGAATCATTTTTCCAAAACAAGAAAACGTGAAAAACTGTTTCTCGTTCACCTTTTAAAAGAAGGGAAAGGACACTAGGCAATTTTGGATCGAGATTTCTGCCTGAAACAGTCACCGTTAAAAACTGTATCTCGCTCATCCTATTAAAAAGAGTTGTCAGCAAATGTTACTTGCTAGACAAGAAAGTAAAAGTTGGATTTTTTGTTTACCGGTTGTCATGATGGCAGATTGGACTACGGAAGAAGACCATTCACGATGAATTTTTTTTGACGTACGTAGACACACCTGTAACATGTGGACATGCCATCGAAGTTCCAGACATAACAGAGTACTTCACACGTCTAGGGCAAATAGTTTTGCATATTCCCGCAGATTAGTTTTGCAGATTCTTGTAGATTCTCCTAATGAATTTGAGAATACCTTATCAAAGATTCAAGATACAATACTTTAATGATTAGATTTTGTGAATGAAAATATTTAGAATCAATAACCCAATAACATATATTTTAATTCAATGACAAAATGAGTTGCAGTACATAACTAATTTTTCATCTTAGACTTAATGTATACTAAACAAGATGTTATGAAATACAATAACGCGAAATTTTATTTATAGCTTAAAAGATGTCAACATGGTGCATAATTAGTAACCATCAGTATAAACAACAATGGGACTTCTCACGTTATGTGTTCCATCAGACCAGATTAGATTTGCAGATGAAGGCAGTTTTGGGTTGAGATCGCTGCCTGAAACAGTCACCGTGAAAGACTGCTTCTCGTTCACTGACTTCATGGATAGAACACTAGGCGAGACCTTGACGTTGAGCTTAGATCCGTTATTTATGGCAACTTTTGATTTGTATGTTGAGTTGGAGGTACCTATGTTGGTTACGGTTCTGTTGAAAGTCACTGTGAAGGAGCTGTTAGATTTCGACAATTTAGCTGACATTGAAGGATAGTTTAGGTTTCTTGGTAAGGTCTTGTCAGTACAAGTGACAGCTTCACCGGCGATGAGTTTTAAGGTAGTAGCATTGTAATTCATGCCACAGAGAAAGGCGATGTGGTCTGATTTGCCTAATTCATAGACGAGTCCTGGATTTAAAGCTGCTATTGGGTCGACATGTCCAGCTCCATAAGCAAACTCGGTAGAGACTGCGCCAGTTCCAGACGCATTCATCGGCCAAGCTGCAAAGAGTAGTTAAGAATAAGAACAGAGTTATCAACAAAACTGTTACTTGTGCGACAAGAAAGTAACAGATGTATATGACTTTTAGTTACCGGTTGTCATGATGGCAGATTGGATCATGGAAGGAGACCATTCAGGATGAAATGTCTTGAGGTACGCAGCCACGCCTGAAACGTGTGGACAGGCCATCGAAGTTCCTGAGGTAATAGTGTAGTTCACACGCCTATTGTCCAGCGTTGTTGCAGATGGTGAAACCAAAGGTGAATAGGCAGCAAGGATTTCCACTCCTGGTGCTGTTATATCCGGCTGCAATTCAATCAACCATTTTCTCTCAGACCGGGAAAAAAAAGAGAACTAGGTAACATCATAAAAATGTTATACCTTAAGAATATCAACAGCGATAGTGTTTGGACCGCGAGAAGAGAATCCAGCAACTTTAGGAGCTGCCTGATTAAATATTGCTTCACTTTTTAGCACAGCCGCTTTCGGGGACCTGAGACAAATAAAGACAGAGATATCAAGACAAAGAATGAGAATCCAGCGCACATGGTAAGAGTATGAAACATCGAGATGACTTGTTCCTTACTTTGTGGAGTTAATGTAAGAAATGAGAGAGCCAAAGTCCTCTAGTGATAGAAAAGAGATGGGCCAAGGGCTAACAGTGGCAAATTCTGTTTTGTGTTTAAATATGAATGCAACAGCTACGTCCGAACCAATCGCATAACTGCACACAACGATCTTTCCCTTCGCCTGAGATTCGTTATTACACTTCTCAACCGATTGTTCGTACACAAGAGGATACTGTTTTCCTTTCAGATCAAAAGCATTCACTGATTTTCCCTGTTATGAGAAAAAGATACATTGATAATGAGAAGGAGACTAGGATCATAGAAATGAGAACGTTTGTTGGTACTTACGACAAGTGTCTTGCCGTTTCCGAGAACGACTTTAGTGAAAACCCCACGGTTTGTGGTGCTAGCTGCAACGGTTAAGATCCACGGTGCTACGCTCACGGTTGGATTTGGACCGCTGTTACCAGCTGACTGCACAGTGAGAATCCCTTTGGCCATAGCGTGAAAAGCCCCTATCGCTATTGGGTCCTTTTCGTACATGTAGGTGGTGACTCCCCCGAGGGAGGCGCTGATGACGTCGACACCATCTGCGATAGCATCATCGAAAGCCGATAGTATAGATTCCGTGCTACACCCTGACCCGCTACAGACTTTGTATGCTGCTATTCTGGATGCTGGAACGCCGCCTCTTGCAGTTCCATTACCGATTCCATAGAAACTTGCGTTCTCAACCGCGTTTCCAGCCGCTGTTGATGCTGTGTGTGTACCGTGGCCTTCAGTGTCCCTCGTGCCTTCGTTTGTATAGTCTCTTGCTCCAATCAACTTGCTGAAACATTGTAAACAGATTAACTTTTGTACGTAATTTATTTTTGTAACCAAAAGATTCTATGCCGAAACTCAAACTAATTAATTTCCGGGTGTTCCTTGAAAATAACCTCGACCAACAATACTAATCTTTATATAGAGAAATTAATTTAAGAGAATTACTTGTTGCAAGTGAAGTTTTTGCCGCCGGAGCAAACACCTTTCCATTTCTTAGGAGGAGGACCAAAGCCTTTACCGGAAAAGCTTTCTGATTCTGGCGAAATCCCAGTGTCCAAAACTCCTACAATAGTATCACTCTCAACGGCCAAGTTTCGTTTTGTATTTGTTCCTTCCTTCATTCCCATGAAGTCCCAAGATGCCGTTGTATGGAGTTTGTAGTTCATGCTTGGGAACACGGACACAACTCCCTCCATTTCTATCATCATAAAAGGTTTTTTAAACGTTTAACCTTAAACAACACTGTAACATAAAATGTCTCTCCATCGAAGAACACTCACCGGCTACTCTTTGTCGTTCTGACTCAGTGAGCCGGGCAGCGAACCCGTTGAAACTCCTCTTGTAACTTCTAACCAAACGTCCTTCGATCGAACTAGGAAAGAAATCACTTGTTAGTATCTTCATAACGATTTTTAAAATTAATTATAACTAATCATGATTATATAAATGAATTAAATAAATCATTCGTACCTTTCGCCGGTGACTTCTTGAAGAATATTTATGTGATCCGACGTTGGTTTGTAGTCCGGTTGAGACGGAAGTGAACCCATGTAGACAACATACACCTTCATGGATTATTATCATCGTTAGCTAAACACAAGCTTTCTCTTCGCTCTCTTATGATCATACATCCTTCTTATGATCTCTAATTATATAGTTATGAATTGTAAAAAAAAAAACATACTTGGTTATCTTGACGATTATCTGTGTCTGCCGACACTAAACTCAAGAACAAAACAAGGACACAAAATGAAGCTTCTCCTAATTTCGCCATCTTAAAAAAAAAAAATTGAAGCTTACTGCAACTTTTATTTTCTATGGGGATTGACATGAAATGAAAGGATTTTTCTATACTATACAATTTTTTTAATAAATCTTACTTTTCAAATTAATTTATTACATTAGCTTAGATTTTTTATGCTAAAAATCTATTATTGCTAATTGACATTCTTTCTGTTATAGATTTGAATTACAGATCATATTTGTCTAATTTTAGTAAATACTTCAAAAAATTATAGAAATTATTAATTTGTTGTCCTATAAAGTACAGTATGAATCTTAAATGATTTGACTACTAGATATTTAATTCTAAAATTATTCTGCACCATCAAAGTTTTCCTAAACAAATACACACATAATAATTCTTAAATTTATCATTTCTTTGACTAAAATATCCCAAGAGGAGAGACATTAGAGCACCTCCAATGGGAGGTTGTAAGCAAATTTTTGTGAGGTTCTCTTGGTTTATTGGAATAAAAATAAATCAAAAAGGTAAATTAAGAAGAGAGGTGGTTCTCTCTGGAGAGATTTGGGAACACAAGAGAGACGGGTACGTGGCGGTCGTTCATTGGCTGTTGCATTTTAATAAAAGGAAGAAAAAAAACGCCTTTTGTACTTTGTTTTCATCGATTTTTTTTGCCCTACTTTCTCTCTCTCTCGGGCGATTTGTGCGATGGCGGAATCCGATAAATCACAGGGTGATGCATTGTTTTCCGATGAATCCTATGATGGAGAGTGAAATTAAAGGTGAAATTATGGTGGGTATTTCATCCGGAACCCTAGAATTTGTGATCTTCAACGGGAAAAATGACTTCAACTCCGTCCGCCGGTCGTGAGCTCTCGAATCCGCCGTCCGTCGGCTTTTCCAATCTCCGATTTTCCATAACAGTAACTCCTCGTTTCTTCATGGGATAAGGTCCCTTTCTTTGGCTTTTACTGATTTAATTGAAGTCTCTTCTTCTTCTAAAGCTTTTTTTTGTTGTTCTGTTGTTGTGTGTTTGCTGCAATTAAGCGTGTGAGATTGTATGATGTGAGCACCAATTCGTTGAAAGGGGAGTTCTTACATGGCGGAGTAGTGCTCGATTGCTGTCCGACGGTGCTCTCTCTTATCTCTACTCCCTGCTTTTTTGTGTGGTTTATGCTTTGTAGTTTGAAATGAGGTTTTTGTGGTGATGAAGAACAATATTATCCAAGTTAGCCAGTTTTGAAGCGAGATTCTTTTGTGAATTTGGATTTCTTTAGTCCTAAACATTTAATCTTACAGTACTGAAATAAAATGTCTATACAGTTTGCAAGCTAATCTCAGTGTTGTGAAGAGACTGGTTGGTATAAGAATGTTTCCACTCAGGCTAATAAAATGTCTACTCTTCACTTGGTCCTCCGTCTCTGTGGTGGTTTCTAAATCTCGTCTCTCTTATGGTTTAAGAAGTTCATGTCTCGTTTGTTTTAAAACTTTGGTGGTTTGTGTTTTTGGGGCCTTGTAAAGCTCATGAGAAATAATTGATGAACTATGTTTCCATTCTTATCTCCTCTGTTCTTTTTAATGACAAATCGAACTTCTTCTCTACTGGAATTATATCCTACTTGTCTCTTTATCATCGTTGGTTTTTACATGATCTGTGCTTGTTTTGTTTAATAAGTCTGAAATGTGGCTCGACTCTGTTTCCGTGTTGGCCTTGGTAGATGTAGCGAAATTGTTTAGCATTTAGCGTTGTTACTTAATACCTACACTCGTTTATCTTCTTGAGGATATGTGAGTTAACAAGAACATTAAAAATGCTTGTGAAGTGCCCCACACTTTAGAAGAAACGTTCATAGCAATTTAAAAGCCATGTCCCAGCAAAAACAAGGGACATTAAACAATGGCATAACACATAAAATAAGTGAAAATAGTTTATATGGTTTGAAAAAAAAAACTGTCAAAAATCGGGAATGCTTACAAATCTCGGGAATATGATGGGCATTTGAAATCGCATTCGTGATCATGATATGCATCAGTAATTGAAAGCTGATTTGGTTGAGCATATATGACAAAAATTTCGCAACAATCAAGAGTACAACTAATCGTTATTCCGGTTTTGTTTTTGCAAATCTTTTTTTAAATGTTTGAAAATAATGTATGTTTAATATTTTTATGAATTGCAATAATTATTGTTTTATAAAATAAAAAATTTTATAAAAAAAATTTTCGAAGAGAACCCCACTAGAGAACCTACCATTGGACACAAAAAAATTAAAAAAAAAACAAAAATTCTCATCAAACATTTTCTTAAAATTTATAATAAAAAATTTGAGAGAGCTCGTAAAGAGAGCTCCCGGTGCTCTTACATCGTCTTCTTGGGCTTGAAGATAATGACCCCAAATAGAAGAAAATGGTCGGTCAAACTCATTGCCACGTCATCTGTAGTTCTTAAAAGATCATCTTCACCAATCCTGAAGACGTATTGTTCTTGAACATCCCCGAAGCTAACTCCGAACCTCAAACTGTTTCTTATTCTCCTCTTCTTCCTTGGACCTTTTCACAAAGGTTAGTTACTTCTCAGAATTGCTACTTTTTGCATTGGAGCCGATTCTAATTTGGAAATCCAGTAATGTCAGTTTTTGTATAATTCCCATTTAGACTAAATTTAGTCAAAGTTGTGACGGTGGGAAAATCAAACATGTTAGATCAATTATTGGTCCTAAAAGAGGAATATATAACTGTCTTTTCGTCGATATATACATTTTCATTACGATCATCGGAAAGTAGCGGATCTCACAAGTTTTCATGTTCTTAGTTTCAGGGACAGGAGTTCTTGTTTTGTCTGCAACTTCAAGCCCTACTAAGCAATGGCTGTCACCAAGATTTATATAGTGTGAGTTTCATTAAACCAATCCATGCCAAGTTCATCAACTGGCGATCATTTCCAGTCAACAGTAATCTGCGATTCTCTAAACTACTGGCTCAGACAGAACGAGATTCTGTGCCGGTCCTCATACCAGTTTTGTTTTGACGAAAAACCTGGTTTTTTGGTTTTCCTGGTAGGTACTATTCCTTGCACGGCCATGTCGAGACAATGGCACGAGAGGTTCTCCGAGGAGCAAACTCTGTTCCAGACGTGGAAGCAACACTCTGGCAAGTGCCAGAGACATTACCGGAGAAAATACTGGAGAAAGTGAAGGCCGTTCCAAGACCGGACGATGTGGCGGATATTCGACCAGAACAACTGGCGGAAGCCGACGGATTCATGTTTGGCTTTCCTTCTAGGTTTGGAGTGATGGCATCACAGGTCATGACTTTCTTTGACAATACAAATGATCTCTGGACTACACAGGCTCTCGCTGGGAAACCTGCGGGACTCTTCTGGAGTACGGGTTTCCACGGTGGAGGCCAAGAACTAACTGCGTAAGAACATAGTCCTCCTAACACATAGACATGTTAGAAGAACTCATGCAAGTGACTGATTTTAATCTGCAGGTTGACGGCAGTGACAAAACTGGCTCATCACGGGATGATATTTGTACCGGTAGGATACACATTCGGTAAAGGCATGTACGAGATGGGAGAGGTGAAAGGTGGTTCGCCGTATGGCTCAGGGACTTATGCAGCTGATGGATCACGGGAGCCAACAGAGCTGGAGATTCAGCAGGCAAATTACCATGGCAAGTACTTTGCAGGAATAGCCAAGAAACTCAAGAAACGGTCTCCTGTCTAAAGTCTAAACCAAATCAACTCTGTATTTCATATACTAATCAATCTGTAAATGTGAAGGTGAATACTGAAAATAAGATTGACATATACAGAGCAAAACATCTATGTGTAAGCTAATGGTCAACAAATCTTATTGCCCATAGATTCTAGCTACAACTCGGAAACTATTAATCAATGTATAGCATTACCACTTGGATATCAATATGAACAATCCCTCCTTATCCTCTACATCAATTGTGATCTTTACTTGATCTCACCTGGAACTTCTACGGTCTTCGTGACCCCAGCCGGTATTGGCACCTCTCTGTCCATATAAAAAAGAATCATTAAACGAACATCTTGATTCAAATTTTACATATCTGAGATCATTGTTCTTTCTTACGTTTTCATCGTGAGAAAATTTGCAACCATCTCCACGAGTACATTCCTTTCTCTGAAAAGCTCTGCAAACACCACGAGCTTCTCTCTTCTTATGCTTCGTCTCTTCATCATCCTCTTCTCTCTTTGAGTATTTACCACAATGCTCCACTTTTATGATTCTTCCCAAAACCTTAGCTCCATTCAGATTATCTGCAATTGAGAGAAGAAACAGAATCAAGAGAAACACGAACCAATGTGTAGTAAAATCCATAGAGAAAATGATTTTATGAACTTACTAACCAACAGCAAGATTTGTACTTCTCTGATCTTCATAAGCAACAAACGCAAATCCTTTTGATTTCCCAGTTCCTTTATCTCGAGCAAGATTCACATCAACAACTTCACCATATCTTCAATGAAACCAAAATTCAGAATTAAGAATCATCATCTAGGTATAATATACTAAATTCAACAATGTGAGAAGAAACTCGTACTGTGCGAAAACTGCGAGGAGGTCACCCTCCGTTAAATCGTACAGTAATTCTCCGACGTAAACGTAGGCTGAATCTTTGTATTTAGCGTGCCAAGATGCTTCGTCGGAGATCCCTAGATCTAATTCTTTCGCGTTAATTCTCTGTGTCTGCTTCACCATTGTCAACGGATTCATCGCCTCTCGGAGTAAAACCCTAAATGCGAACGGCACGAATAGTCAGTCGCCGGAGACGCGTAACAGAATTGTGCGGGTCGGGTTATGTTGGCTTAATCATGGGTCGGTTTGCTTTTGACAGAATTATTGTGTGGGCCGGGTTACGTTATATTAAACCGAATAATGGGTCGGTTTGCTTTTGATTTTATACAACTTTTGTTTTTTTTCCATTTCTTTTTTGTTTATTGATCACCTACTTTTGTTATCTAGAAAAAAGAATCACTTATAAATTAATTTGACATACATAGGAATTTCAACAATACGAAGAAGAAAAAAGTATACAATTTTGAGGTTATTCAACTACAAATAATGAAAGTTTCCAAATAAGTAATCAATCATTGTGAGAAAAATTGTTATAGCTCCTAATTGATTTTCTTTTTTGCGTTTATGGTTGTATTAGACAAGTTATTTTTGAAGAAAAGAGTTAATTTTTCAAGATTATCTGATAGCCAATACCAGACGTATTTTAAATTGTAAGTTCTTGATGAGGAGGTTTAAGTTCGTAAAATTGCTAAAAATATACTCCCTCTGTTCCTAGAAGTTTTATGTTCTAATGTTTTAGGTTTGTTCCCCAAAGATTGATTTTATACATTTTTTCTTTATTTTTAATTAATTGATATTAATAAATCGTAGATTTCAAGACGTAATGATTAACTGTTTCAGATTACTATTTGTTCATAGTTTATTAAAAAGTGTTTAACAAAAATAAATAATTAAACAATGATTGTTTCTTAAAATATGTGAAATCTCTAGAAAATCAATTTTCTAGGAACAGAGGGAGTATATGAGCTTCTTGAAGCTTACGAGATAGTGGGAATCCACAGCCAAAATGCAGAAAAAGCACGTAGTAAGTGGAACTTTCCCAAGATAAAAGAAAGAGACTGATTACTACTACTTGTACTAACTCTAACACATATACAAAAGGAGTCCTCTTTTCCCCCAAATTTTTAAAGACTCTGCAGTATACAGATAAAAATTTACCAGAACCGGTTTTTCCGCCTTCACCTCACATGGCTATCGTAAGGAGAAGACGCATACGCTTGATCTGGAACCACCAGTGGTAACTTCTCAATGTACATAAACAACCTTTTCTGGTTCTCTCTCGAGATTGCAGTGAGATTCACTGTATCGTTTTGGTCCAAAAACATCCAGAGATCACCCGAGTCTACTCTTTTAAGGCTGTCTCTGCAGAAGGGGCATGACTGTGATCTCCCTCGCCTAAGAAAAAACATTACCCTTTTTCAGAAAACCAGTTACGTTCAACATGTTACAAGCTTTTAGTTAACTTACCAATCGCGATAACACTTGATGCATACAGAATGAGTACAGTTTGGAAGCACCACCATGCTGTTCATTTCCATACAGATTCCACATTCTTCTTCCCTCTCTATCTCAATCTCTGAGAGCTCGCACTTCTCGCTCTCATCCTTCTTTCTGTATCGCATCTTGCATACCTCTTTTTGTCTGCGGTCATCTACATCTGTAATACTCCTTAGTTGTGACAAAGACGGTAATATCACAGCTAAAACATAACCAAAACATCAAAGGCCCATAAGATTACAACGATATCAACCTTGTTTACCAGAAAAAATATCAGCGCCGGATAAACATACCGTAGAACTCTCTGATACTGGCTTTTCTTTCGTAAACCGACATCGTGGTCTTTCCATCTGCATAAGTCTGAACCAAATATAACTCAACAGGTTAATCAAACAATCACAGAGAACAGTATGGTGAATGTAGCAAAACAAAGTGGACAGTACCATATAAATAAGAACTCTGAGTAAACCGAGGGTACCAGCAAGCTGACAATTAGTCCATTGTACAAGAAAAAGAAAAAATTGAGCAGCCGGGCTGTAGGATAATCTCATCTGAACGCGTGCTCCATCCTTCTCCCGAGGACAATCTAAAGCTCTGTTATTCATTTACAAAAAATGAAAACACAATAAGATCATAAGCAACTCCAACCATAAACACATTTTTGGTCGAAGAATCAAAAATTTGAAAGAGCAAATATAGTTTATCGGTTCAAGTACACATAATAAATCACAAACTGTCACAGCTTTAACACTCATATACTGCAGCTTCAACACTAGCAGACTATACATTGATCTGTGTCGAGACCAATACTAGTTCAGCTAAAGAAGCAGCTCCAAGTCAACTAGTTAAGAACAAGAATCTCAAGAATCAATTACTAGCTTAAACTTTCACTCCTTGTACTAAAAACTGATCGAATCTAAGATAAATCCCTAACTCAGTAATCACTTTCTCAACTAGTGGACCTATGAGAATCAAAGTACAGAACCTAAAAGAAATTTCCACTGCAAACAAGAAGGAACCTTCAATTTTATGATCTTACATGCAAACCAAACCAAACAAAATTAAGTAACAACCAGAATAAAAACATAACTTGAACGCTGAGATAAACTATAAAACACAGAAGAGTGATAAAAATCGAGACTTTATACTAAAAGTCGATAAAATTCAATAAAACTGGAGAAAGAAAAGGAAAAGATTTCGAGGATTTTACAGTGTATTAGCGTGTTGAATATCGGCTTCAAGAGCTTTCAGCGAATCCTTGAAAGATAATTTAGCCATGGCAGGTGAATGAATTAATTTCCCAGAAAATAGTTCCCATCAAACGAAACAGAGAATCAAGAAAGCAAAACGAAGATTCATAGCATCCAAAACAAAAAGTAAATTTTCTTCTTTTGTTTTGTTTAAAGAAAAAAAGGAAAATTTTAAAGGCTTCTCTTTTAGCAGAATTTTAGATGTTTCACCCAATCCGATGATCAAAATTACATTAATGAAGACAGGGAAAAATCAGAGGAGATAGTGTTTTTTTTTAGTAAACTTTGGATTTTTCTCGATAAACCTCTCTTTAGCGATTTATCAGTTACGATTCTCGAAGCTGCTTTTTCAAGAAAAGTCGCCAAATTATGCTTCAAATGACGGATATACCCTTGTCCCAATATTTCGTTTTTGGCGTAACCATCGTTTTTCGTCAGTTTCCATTAAAGGATTTTGTCACTTGGAAATTAATAATTTGACGACCACGGTATTGTAAAATAGTTTTTCACGCACTATTACTTTGACCTAGTACTACTAGGCTAATAATATTATTATTACTTTTAAGTTCATTCCTCCTTTGCTTATGCTAAATCCTACAGTTTTTTTTATTTGCTGAATTGAGCGCGCTAAAAAGATCTTCGAAAACACCTTAAGACTTCCATATGTCAAGAAAGTTTCGACATTGATCAATAAAGAATAGATAGAAAGTGGGTGAGTAAAATAAAAGATAGAGGTATGGATCAATTAAAAAATAAGTGGATAAGGTCAATGTCCCCAACAATCTATTTAGTGATCCTACTGTATAATGCATAGCAATAATTAAAGTGGGTAGTGCAATAAAAATAAGTTGAATAAAAACTAGGATGAATAGAATCATATAGCTACTTAGGCATGGGCGTTTGGGTAAATGGTTCGGTTCTAGAACCGAACCATTTGGTTCTTAGTATTTTGGTTCTGAAATTTAGGAACCATATTGGAACCAAATCAAAATCGGTTCGGTTTCGGTTCGGTTCCTCTACGGTTCGGTTCGGTTCGGGTAATAAATTTTGGAACCAAATTATTTCAGGTATTTTTGGAACCGAGAAAACAAAACAATCATAATACAATATTCAAATGCAATTAGGTAAGTATGCAATCACATATTAGTAAGCATACCATTACAAATCCAAAAAATATTCGAAACTTGGAAAGTGTTATGTCAAAAGACACCCAAAGTTTCAAAGATACCGAAAAATACAAGTTTTTAAGATACCAAAATAACCCGAAGTTTAAATCTGTTTCAAATTACAATCTTCTGCTTCTTCTTCTCTCCACAGATTATATCAAAAAACACCACAAAACCTGAAATAAAATGTACAAAAAGACTTTTAATACAATGAAATGAAATTTGAATCACAGAGAATAGAACTAGAGAAAGGGAAAAAATGACCTGAATAGATACTAGAGTCCATCACCATCTCCTTAACAAAACGTGAGTCAGTTTAATTCCCTTCGCAGCTAAACTCAAACTCTAAACATCAAAACAAACAATAATTAAGACACTTAGACTTCACAGATTTACAAGTATTCAAGAAAATTGACAAGAGATATTACCTTTCTCAAACTTGTCTTGATCTTCAATCTCAGATATTACAAGGTTTCTCTTTAGGTTTATGAAGTATATATAGTGGGTTGTTGGGTTTGGGTTTAGGTTTAGGTTTGTATGGATTTGGGCTTTGGGATATATAGATATAGGTAAATGAATTATATTTTTCAGGTACCCATTTGGATCTCGGTTCTTACCCGAACCGAACCAATACCCATGGATCTGAAATTCAAGATCCAATTGATATTTTTATTAGAACCAGAACCGAACCATACCCATCAATTTCGGTTCGGTTCTATGTGGATCCATATTTGTGCCCAGGCCTATAGCTACTAATCATAGCTCCTTTTGAAGTGTAGTCAATGGGCCTTATAGCCAAAGCCCTGTATATTTTTGTTCAGTGTTCACTGTTCAGTTACATTTTTTTTTTTTTTTTGTGCTACTCCACAATCACTTACTTACCTCATATAGAAGATTTTAACAATTTACCATTCAATCAAACCTGTAATACATAGGATTATCAATTGTGGTACATTTCTCAATTTGCGTTATGTTAGAGTTTTTGAAAATTTTGTATAATGAAATCTACCGAGATTGATTTTTTTTAGTGTGCGTCATAGCCGCTAGACTCTAGTGCTTGCTTAAAAGTTAAAACATTTACACTGTTAATTAAACGGAGCTTGTTGATTACTCTTTCTTTTTTATGATGTGTAGATGAACGATGCATGCAAACAAACTGCGAGAGGATGTATATATCTATACCATTAATTAGCTTCGACATCAATGGCGGAGCTAGGACGAACTTTTATTGGGGTTAAAATTATACAAAACAAAAAAGAACACTGAAATGGACTTAAAAAAAGAAAAATTATAAACTCAAATTTTAGAAAACTTTACATTGTCTGAATTATTGTATTATGTATTTGGATTCAATCTAAAGAATCAAGTCTTTGTAGCTAGAAGAATGTGGATTTTCTATCTCTTTTTTAAGTAAATCATGAGTTTAAGTCAAATTTATAGGAGTCAATGTCAAATTTTCAGTGGAGTCAATGTTATAATTTCTTAGAAAACATAAAGGGTAATTAAATTTTGTTGAGGTCAGTTGACCCCCCTCCACTACACTTGCCTCCGCCACTGTTCGACATTAATGGTAAAATCATTCAAGTTATATTGATCGAAAAAGTCAAAATCTGAACTCTCTTAGTTTAATGAGAAAATCACGTGACGAAACGATTTAGTGATTTTCAAGTGTCGTTAGATCTTATTAAAACTTAATACGTATGATCTGTCTTGGCGTAGCATGAAGGAGTAGACAGAGAGCAAGTGGGAGAAAGAAAGAAGGTTCCATTGATCGATCATGTGCGTCTTTGAACCCTAATAAGCTCTTTAAATACATCATAACGCTCCAATTCGAACAAACATTGAAACAAAGCCAAAAGAAAATGTTGTATCTATTCTCTGTTGTTTTTACCTTTCTTGCACTTTTTCTCATCCCTGGTCTCTTCATCTCTCGGCGACTAAGAGTTCCTTTGTCCTTGACAAACATCCTAAGATTCATCAAAATCACAGCTTCTAAATACGATGATGAGGAAGAAAGGAACGACAAACGGTAGTTTGCTTTAATTAGTCGTCATATTTCTACTTGTGTATTAAGCTCCTTATATTATTTCATTTTTGTGGTAAATTAAACCATCTCTTGAGACTAATATGAAATTAACTAACCATGGATTTTACAACAACTTGTGAGTCCATATGGCTAAATCACTAACGCTAGCTACGCGTCTTGCTCAATTGGATTTCTAACTTTATTTCTACTAGATATTATGCATCTTTTGCTATATGAAACCTAATAACTTTTTTAATCTTGTTACTAATTTGTAGTGATGCAATGGGAGAGAAAGAGAAACGAGCGAGCAATAGAAAAATGCCAAAGCATGTGGCCGTTATATTGGACGGAAACAGACGTTGGGCAGAGAAACGAGGACTTGGTACATCCGAAGGCCACGAGGCCGGAGCTAGAAGGCTATTGGAGAATGCTAAGGATTGTTTCGCAATGGGGACAAATACTATCTCACTCTTTGCTTTCTCCACCGAAAATTGGGAAAGACCAGAGGTGATTATGGATATGAAATATGATTTCACAAAACGTTTCAAAAGTTTTTTTCTTTTTAGTAACCAAGAAGTTATGGACCTTACGAATATAACATGTTGATTAGTATCTTCTTCTCACCGCGGGTGTTAAAATTTGTTAACTTGAAAACCTTTTGTTTTTGTGGTCATTTAATCAACAGTTGAGTTACCGATCCACACCGATTTTTTTTTTTTCATTTTGATTTGGTTTTTCTTTTTCTTTGCTCAGGATGAAGTTAAATGCTTGATGGCCTTGTTTGAGAAACACTTTAGGGCTGAGATGCCTTTCTTCCAAAGGTATCTATTCCAACGTGTTTTTTTTTATCCTCTTTTAAAGCCTTTATGTCTTGATGTTAATTTTCCCTTTCCTTTCCAGAGATAAGATCAAGATCTTAGTTATCGGGAACCGTGCAAAAATCCCTGAGTCGCTTCGAGGTTTGATAGAAGAGGTAGAGGAAGCTACAAAGAGCTACGAAGGGAAGAATCTCATTATAGCAATAGACTATAGTGGAAGATTTGACATCTTACAAGCATGCAAAAGTCTTGCAACAAAAGTGAAAGACGGGCTGATTCAAGTGGAGGACATCAACGAGGAGGCGATGGAGAAAGAGTTGTTGACAAAGTGTAGCGAATTCCCAAACCCTGACCTGTTGATCAGAACAAGTGGAGAGCAAAGGATCAGTAACTTCTTCTTATGGCAATCTGCTTACACTGAGCTTTACTTTCCAACTGTTTTGTGGCCTGATTTTGGCGAAGCTGAGTATCTTGAGGCCTTGACTTGGTATCAACAAAGGCAGAGGCGATTCGGTCGACGAGTTTAAATTTTTGAATCTCACTAATCAAATGTTCAAATGATGCAATAGTACGTACGTAGTGGTACTATTGTTTTCATGGGACCTAAATATTTGTCTTCTTCTTTTTTTTTACTTTCAATAAAATTCATAATAGAAACTATCATATAGATGTATGTCAAGTGTTATCTTGTAAATATACTACGGGCCTGTTCTTTTCTCAATCGCTGCGACAGCAACCGTACCGGAGTGAAGCGACAATGGTTGTAACAGCCAATAAAGTAAAACGACAGACAAAGACTGAAACGGAGATGCCGCTGGAATAAATGGAGATGTCGCTGCAGTGATGGAGGAGTCGCCAAAAAATTCAGCGACTAGAAAATCAAAACACGTCGTCTCATCCGTACAATCAGCGACTGAACTTTTGTAAAAAACCTGCTGTCCGTTCCTCATTTCTTTCTTTAATTTCCAGTCGCTTGATTCAATTCCAGCGATCAACAAAAGAACAGGCCCTACCATGGTACAAACTTCTTCTATATGTACGATTTATACAAACTTCTGTATGTACGATTTATTTTTGTTCAACCACTGAACTCATAAATAAATCGTTTCTTACCAATTACTATACCACGTAATACTACAAAATTTATGCATTTTCAAAGAATTTAGCTAGCCGGCCGTCTCAATTAACATAAAATAGTTTGAATGGTAGATAAACCACACTGACAAGTTCATTGATTGAGCATCATCTACTTAACAGAGAGATTACTAATCTTTTCATTTACTCTGTTTCACCAAATAGGCAAAATACAAATGTCAATGCTTAACTCGTGTTTGTTTAGTTATAAAGTAACTGAGTTCGTTTTTGGCAAGGTTTCCAAAACTGCGAGATAAAGAACCAGAATCAGTCCTTTAACAAAGAAAACAACCAGAGCCAGTCATTAGAAACTTACTCTTAAAATGATATTCATACATTCTATAATCCATGCAAAACACTTGCAATTCTTCACACTCTCTACAATGTTGTCTCTGCTCTGTTTCCTTCTGTCTCTTCTCTTTCTTCTTCTACTTCCTTGTCTCCGACCTTGCTTTTCTGCTAAAGGATCTCTGAAAGATAAAAAGAAGATGTAATTAAACATATTATTTTTATCCTGTTTAAACTAAAACTTTCATGACTTAGCTTTGGTTTTATGTTTTGTAGTGACAAGGGAACTTATGTGGTCGGAGAGGAGGAGCCACCTAAAGGGCTTCGAAGAGAGCTGATGCCGAGACACGTGGCAGTGATAATGGACGGAAATCGGAGATGGGCGAAACAGGCCGGATTGTTGACGTCACAAGGCTACGAGGCTGGAGCTAAACGGTTAATAGAGTTCGCCGAGCTCTGCTTCAAACTAGGGATAAATACTGTCTCAGCTTTTGCTTTCTCCACTGAGAATTGGGGAAGACACAAGGTGTGGCAATTTCATACGAATTGTTTCAGTTATCCTAAAATATTTCGCCTTTATTATCTCTAACAACTTAATTACTCAGATTGAAGTCAAATGCTTGATGTATTTGTTCCAACGTTACCTCAAGTCAAAGATCCAATTCTTCCAGAGGTATATATAAAATGAGTGAGCTTATTCAACATAGTAGAGCTTCTCATATGTTCATTTTGTTACCAAGAATCTTGTTTGTTTCAGCAAGGAAATCCGAGTTTCTGTTATCGGGAATCTTGCGAAGATTCCGGAATCTCTCCTCGGAATAATCACAGAGATAGAGGATGCTACAAAGAGTTACAAGAAGAAGCATCTCATCTTGGCCATAGATTACAGCGGGAGATTCGACATCTTGCGTGCTTGCAAGAGCATTGTGAAGAAATCAGAACAAGGTTTGATCCGAGAGGAAGAAGTGGACGAGACGTTGTTGGAGAGAGAGCTTCAGACCAAGTGTACAGAGTTCCCAAGTCCTGATCTCTTGATTAGGACAAGTGGAGAACAGAGGATTAGTAACTTCTTCTTGTGGCAACTCGCTTATACCGAGCTCTTCTTCTCACCGGTCCTTTGGCCTGATTTTGACAAGGATAAGCTTTTAGACGCCCTGGATTCGTATCAGCGCAGGGAAAGACGATTTGGCTGTCGGGTTTGATCCACATTTGATCCTCTGCTCCGCTCTGTTCTGTTATGTTCATCTGAGATTTCTATCAAACTTCTTGCTCCACTTTCAGAGATCATTAATACTGTTGTAGCTTTCTGTCGGTAAATCGAAAATTTTTGAATAAAATCAGCGGTTAGTTTCTTCTTCCTTGCTTCGCCTACGCATAAATCAGTTGTTACTAAAAAACCTTGCAACACAGGGAACTGTACTATCTCAAAAGCAGTGTTCTTGAGGTATTAAAAACATCCATTATTACACATCATATACAGTTTTCAGTACACCAGTTGCAAGAAATTCAAGATTTCCGACCACCAAAGCGTCGTTGTCTCTGCTGAAACGACGTTAAAGCTTCGATAAAACCGCTTCTCCCAAAATCAGGCCAAAGTTCTTGAGCAAAAAAGAGCTCTGTATAAGCCAATTGCCACAACAAGAAGTTACTCACTCTAAGCTCACCACTCGTTCTTATCAGCAAATCCGGGTAAGGAAACTCAGTACAATTGGTCTCCAATTCTTCCTCAATCAGTCTCTCGTCTATCTCCTCAACTTCGATCTCGCCATCTTTAACTCTCTGCGCGATACCTCTACACGCTTGTAAAACATCGTATTTCCCACTGTAACCAACCGCTACGATTAGCTGAAGCCTCGTGTTGTTCTTTGTAACTTCCTCAATTTCGTTAATCACTCTTAAAAGAGATTTTGGAAGTTTCGATGAATCTCCAATAATCGATATCCGAACATTGTTCCTGACACTCAAAAGATAAAACTTTTGAGACATAATTAATCAATCACAAACAATTCTTGATTAAGAGTAAACCAAAACTTACTCGGCTAAGTTCTGAAATTCTGATTTGAGTGATCTCTCGAATAAACTAAACAAGAAATCAATCTCAATCTGCAGAGACATAACAACTCAAAATCGCAACAAAATTGAGCTGTAAAATCTGAAATGTCGAAAAAACCCTCCAAATTTAAAATTAAGTTGTCACTCACCCTTGGTCTAATCCAATTATCAGTAGAGAAGGCGAAAACAGTGAGGACTTGAATTCCCCATTTACCACAAAGCTTAACGATCTCTTTCAAAGCTTCAACGCCAGCTCTGTGACCATCCCAAGGTTGAAGACCTCGATTCTTTGCCCATCTTCCGTTTCCGTCCATTATAATCGCCACGTGTTTCGGCATCAGCTCTGGTTGAAGCTCTTCCGGCAGAGTTTCTTCCTCCTCCGCCGCCGTAAACGAAACCTCCGATTTAGAAGATTTGACTCCGAATCGGACTCCTCTGTTTTCCTCGACTTTTGGCGAGAAAGAGAGAAAGCAGTCTCTACTTAACCGCCATTGCCGCTCTAAATACCCGGCGTTAAATCGCCGGAAATCGAAGGATGTAGGAGGACGAACTCGTAGAGATAACATCTTAAGAGAATCGATTAACTCAAGACTTAGGAGAAGCAATTGTATTAAAAGCGGAGAAGATTGGAACTTTCTTAACTCCATAGAAGGTTCTGGTGAGGGGTTTGAAAACGACGTCGTCTTTTGTCTGTGCTGAAGAAGATGATGTTGTTTTCGAAATTGAGCGCCACAAACCAAATTTATCGTTAAGAAATTCCTATCTCCTGTTTTTTATTTCTGTTCTTGTTTGTGTGGTTTATACGAGTTCCTATTCGTCCACGTCTCTTATTTTTTTTTTTTTTTTAAATGCATTAGAAAACTCCTATTGTATTTTTGTTTGTTTTTTCCTTCTAAATCAGACCAGCAAAGAGTAAACAACCTCAATCAATGTACACAGTTTGTAGTCGATATTTATATATGAGATGAATGAAAGTTGGGGCCGGAGCCCATTAGTGATCTTAATAAAAGGGCCCAATGTCGGAATTGCACGTGAAAGCCACGTGAGTTGTGTTTCCGGGCGGTATTTCGCCACGTCTTAACGTCTCCCTCCACGAGATATTTGATTAAATACCAAGAGTACCCTTAGATTACAAAGTATAGACCTAGAGCCTAGAGGGGGTATAATGGTTAATTGACATGGGTTAAATCGTTTTATCAGCGTAAATTTAATTTGATTGAACCGGTCACCGCCCAACCGGCTTTAGTTTGCGTCCGCTACGTCGTCATCGAACCCAAAAAGAAACAAAACAGTTTGATTCGTATTCTCTTCCTTTTTGTCGGGTCGTGAGAATTTTACCGAAAATGGGTTTAACGAGGAACAAAAGAAAAACGGACCCAGAAATCATCATCGCTAGAGATACAGATTCCGAGTTAAGTTCGTCATCATCATCAGAAGAAGAAGATAATTACCCTTTGTCGGAGTCGGAGGAGGAAGATGAAGCGGTTAAAAATGGAGGGAAAATTGAATTGGAGAAGAATAAAGCCAAAGGGAAAGCACCCATTACCGTTAAGCTTATTAAGAAAGTTTGCAAAGTAAAGCTCTTCTAAAAACCCTAGCTTTCTAATGAGTTTTTCTTATTTGGCTTATGATTTCAAGTTCTAGGTAGGCTTTATATGGAATCAAAGTAATGGCTTTTGATTTTGATTTCAAACATATTAGAAGTATTCACTGTATAGGGTCACTGAAATTCACTACATTGTTAATTAGGATTCTTCACTTGAATGCAGAGACAGAGGATTTTGGTGTTTGGCTATGATTGTTTTATATATGTTGTTGTTTCATGGTGGATTTATAGGTTTGTAAACAGCCTGGTCATGAAGCTGGATTCAAAGGAGCAACTTATATCGATTGTCCTATGAAACCTTGCTTCTTATGCAAAATGCCTGGTAAAAATCCGCAATTTCTTATCATACTCGCTCAAATGTGAGCTTTTAGATAATGGTTGTTAATTTACACAATGTTTTCGCTTTTTACTGCATCTATTTAAGGTCACACCACGATGTCCTGTCCTCACAGAGTGGTTACTGACCATGGAATACTCCCAACTTCTCATAGGAATACAAAGAACCCTATTGATTTTGTGTTCAAGCGCCAACTCCAACCGAGAATTCCCCCAGTAAGTCCTTTTGTGTTCAAGCGCCAACATATTTTGATGCCTCATGAGATTTATTGACTGGATCTTTTCTCCTTTTTCCTTTGCTGGACAGATCAAACCAAAATATGTGATCCCGGATCAAGTTCATTGTGCAGTTATCCGATACCACAGCAGACGTGTTACATGTTTGGAGTTCCATCCAACAAAGAACAACATTCTTCTCTCAGGAGATAAGGTTTTACAATTAAACAAAAAGTCATTTGTTGTGAATTTATCGCATACAATTTCTTATTTGTGTTTTCATTTCCGTTGGTCGTATGGTTCACACTCTGAAAGAAAGGGCAAATCGGAGTCTGGGATTTTGCAAAAGTGTATGAGAAGAATGTGTATGGAAACATACACTCTGTTCAAGTTAATAATATGCGGTAAGTTTTGAAATCTGGCTTTCGATCTTATAGTATCTGTTGTGAGTTTGCTTCTGCATTCAGGTGTCTATATCTGGAAACTAAAGCTCATGTGTTTTGTTATATTAAATTTCTCTTCTTTTGTCTGTATTGCAGGTTTAGTCCCACAAATGATGATATGGTTTATTCTGCATCCTCTGATGGAACAATTGGTTATACTGACCTGGAAACTGGAACTTCATCAACTTTGCTGAATCTCAACCCCGATGGATGGCAGGTCACACCATCATCTCTTTTTCTCTGAATTGTCTTCTCTGAACCATTTTACTGATATGACATATCATCGGTTTATAGGGCCCAAACAATTGGAAAATGCTGTACGGTATGGATATTAACTCGGAGAAAGGTGTAGTGCTAGCTGCTGATAATTTTGGGTTTCTTCACATGTAAGTGATTTCATCCCCTTAAAATATTTGTAGACGAGCCTCTTTGTTATTGTTCATATGCGCGCCGGACTTATTTTCTCGATATGTTTTGTGCAAAAGGATCGACCATCGTACCAATAACGGAACAGGTGAGCCAATTTTGATACACAAGCAAGGAAGCAAAGTTGTTGGCCTCGACTGCAACCCAGTCCAGCCTGAGCTTCTTCTCAGTTGTGGGAACGATCATTTTGTAAGTCTATCAAACAGAACCAAGATTATGCTCTCACTTTGGATTCGTTTAGATGTTTATCTGAATTCTGTCAGAACTTGTTCAATAGATTTTCTTGGTTATTGTTTCAGGCACGAATCTGGGATATGCGTAAACTACAACCTAAATCTTCTCTTAATGATCTTGCACACAAGCGAGTAGTCAACTCTGCTTATTTCTCTCCATCATCAGGCACGAAAATCCTAACGACCTGTCAGGACAACCGTATTCGAATATGGGACTCTATCTTCGGGAACTTGGATTTGCCAAGCCGAGAGATTGTTCATAGCAATGATTTCAATCGGCATTTGACGCCATTCAAAGCTGAATGGGATCCTAAGGTTTGATACTTTCACGTTTCTCTCGTCTCCTTTTCCATCAATTCACCTTTTATACAACATTTTCAATATGTTCATCCGCAGGATACCTCGGAGTCACTCATTGTGGTTGGTCGTTACATCAGTGAAAACTACAACGGAACTGCTCTTCACCCAATAGATTTCATTGATGCAAGCAATGGACAATTGGTTGCAGAGGTTATGGATCCAAACATCACAACTATTACTCCAGTCAACAAGTTGCATCCGCGCGATGATGTTTTAGCTTCAGGAAGTTCAAGGTTTGAGATTCATTACCCAACAGATATAATAGTAACCATTGGTGGAAACTTTTTTTATTGACTGATCTTTCATGGTGTGGATTTGGTTTCAAAATCCGGCTTTGCAGGTCGCTGTTCATTTGGCGGCCACAGGATAAAACAGAGATTGTTGAGAAGAAGAAGGATAAAAAGATTATCATATGTTCTGGCGACAGCAAGAAGAATGGAAAGAAGCAAAAGCGTGGCAGCGATGATGAAGACGACGAAGATGACATGTTCAGCTCTAAAGGCAAAAACATTAAAGTCAACAAGTCTCAAGCAAAAACAACCAAGTCTACTCGGAAGACAAAAACTTAAGATTAGTAAAGAATGTTGTTATGTATAACTAACTTTTACTCTGTATTTTGTTTCTTTGGGTAGGTTTTCTAGTACAGAGTCTGTTTTAGTAGGGGATTTTGGTCTAATGTGCCATATACTATAGCAAAACTTACAGAAATTGCTACAAAACATTTGTCTTTCCAAATGTGCCATAATGGTGGACAAGACTTTGAACTGAAAATTTTTTATAGACAAGAAATGTTGTCCACTTTTGAAACAACAGATTGAGAAGATATTGGGTGGACAAAAAAATTGGTCCACCTTTGAAACAACAGACTTTTGGTGGACAAGAATTCGAAACGATATACAAAAATTTGGGTAGACAAGAAATGTTGTCCACCATTATGGCACATTTGGAAAGATTTATGTTTTGTGGCATTTTTGCTAAGTTTTTGCCTGTTTTGCCTTTCGCCAGCAATTTTGCTTTTCTTTTTTTGGGGGCATGATCGGCTTTTGTATGGCATTTTCTTGAACTCCTTTTTGGTGTATCTAAAGTATGAATTGTAGTAAGAATGTGGAATAGATCAATCTCGAATCTTCTCTTCAGTTTTTACTCCCCTGCTTTCTCTTACTTGTTGGGGTGGTTCTTTATCTCACCGAGTGAAGAGTGGAGACAGGGAATGAAAAGTCTTTACGTCATCTTGACAGCCAAAACTCATCTGTAATAACATCTATAAACAAACTGACTCCAGCTAATCATCTTGTTGTTTCATGTATGGTCTGCCACTATCTTATCAATGGTAAAAAAACTATTTTAACTACTTAATTATGGAATGGATTGTATGTTTAATGATTTGGCTCAGAAGGATTTGTGGAAAGCTCATTATTCAAACAAACAAAACTTACATGAGGATTATTGATCAAGTACATACCGTGATCTACATTGCTATTTTGCTAATGTATAACATACATATGTTACAAAGGAATGAGTTTTTCATCTCTCATCACATCAATCCAATACAAAATCGAATCTAGGGTTCTATATTTCCTCTTAAACCCAAACTTATCTACTTTCTCCCTCTTCCCAAGAAGCTTAAACGGACATCTAAACAGAGCATCCAAGAAAAACCAATTCGCCAAATCCTCAATCTTTGTCTGAACAAGCTTCTCCTTCACCACAATCTCATCCCACACATGTTTTCTCTCAGCCATCTCTCTACCAAACCAGAAACCTTCATCAAACATGGTTGTTTCGTTAACTTGTACTCCAAGTTTCTTCCCTATTTCCGGCCAAATCTCCTTCCAAGTAAAACCTACTCCATTAATGGCGTTAAAGGCTTCACCTTTCTCGCGTACTTTCCCGCTACTTGCAGCGAAAATATGCTGTTCCGCGACTAAATTTGAATCCGAGCCGTCGATGTAACTCTCTTCCCAACATTCTCTTGTCCCTCCAAACACAAAAGGAAGATTCAAATACTTACACATCGCTCCATAAACACAAAGACTTCCCATGAAGTTGTAAAGAGTTCTTGTTGAGCTTCCCATTAACAAACCGGGTCGTTGAACCGACCAAACCACGGAACTACCAGTAATCTTCTCCTTTAGCAAATCCTCCAGAACATAGTAGAAATTCATCCCAGAGCTCTTTCTTGGACACTCCTCGGTGTAATAACACAAACTGGAACCTTCTCCACGAAACAGAGTCTCTTCCACCAAAGACACGTAATGCTTCATCCCCGTCTGAAGCGAGAAATGCTTTAACCTCTTAGCGTTTGGGAGAATCGCGTCCAAAGCGTTCATCAGCATCGTCTTGTTCTGGACGCAGCACTCGTCGGTATCCAGTGGATACTCACCAGACCACGTGACCCAAAACACGTGACTCACGATGTCTTGTAATGGAAACAACCTCTGTTTAGTCTCAGATGCGTTGAGCAGATCACATGAGATGAAGTTGTACATCTTCGTCATGGAATTGATCTCCGGGTTTCGCGCTACGCCATAGATTCTCCATCTTGGTTTTGACGTTAATAGCCTCTTAACAATCTCTCGACCCACAAGTCCGGTGACGCCAAAGATCAACGCGACATTCTCGTCTACTTCGTTTCTTCCCACCAAGCTGCCATTTTCAGACCCCATTTTGACTATGAGAGAGTTATGGACTTTGATTACGATCGAAGCTTTATATAAACGTTGTGAGACTGATTCAACGGGTTTAAGGAGAGTTTCAAGACTCGATGCTTACCTGTTTTAAAGGCTATGTTATAATATCCAAAGCAAGTTGCTTTGGAAACAGCTACGATTTAGCATAATAAAGCACAATTCTTTAATATAAATGAGATTAGGGTCAACAGTGTTTAGAGTTTCATGTGACAGTGCTATTAATTTTAGAAATATACGAAAGAAAATGGAGTTACAAATCCAAATTATTTTTTTGATGGCATAACTATTGCTTGCTATAGTACTAGTATTTATATAGACAAAAAAAAGAGAGTAAAATTAAAATCTTAATCATTATATTTGTTAAACTCTTAAATCATAGTGAATTTGTGGATTGCATAACTACATATTATAAGGGGTCATGTTTAAACCAAATGGTGTACGGTGAAAAAATAGAGTAAAACCAGCATAGTATATTAACATCCATGTTCCACCGTGAGAAATGATTCTAACCTTTTATAGTAATCATGTTACCAACTAATTTTGTATACATCAAGACAGTAGTAAGACCACAGTATAAATTGGATTTATCCACATACAAAAAAAAATGTTAATAATGTATGGCTAGCCAGCGATTACTATTTACTAGCACTCCGCGGCTTTATGGCAAGTTGTAGCATGCACAGTTTTGAATGAGAAAACAAAAAAAGAATGAAAGTTGTGACGTTTGAAAATTTCTACGGACTTAAATCTCCAAACTGTTCTTTGGGTTATGGTTATTTAAAATTTTAACCAAATTGTATAGCCTTACACTACATATATTATCAACTGTGTATGGTATGTATATCGTAATTAAGGACTAGGTTATGCGTGTGAGTTGAGTAATGCTGCATGCAAGTGTAGAGTCATTGATAGATAGTTCGAACCTAGCCAAACCAGAGAAAACATATGTTATAGCTATACTTTTTGTTCAAAAAAAAGAAGCTATAACTTATAAGACCATGTACATACCTGATATAATGAGAGTATCAAGAGCCTATTAATAATTTTTAATAGATCAGAGTATCAAGTTGGGCCTGATCAGTATCACTGGAGTGATATTTCTGATACTCAGTATCAGGTGACGTGGCGGCAGCTGATTCGTCTGGGAAACGTGTTTTTCTCTCAAAGCAGAGAAAAAAAAAAGATTCATATTTGGCAAAAATGGGGTCAAGGTAATTGACTCCAAGCGACTAAATTATTTTTATCATCATGTTTTTTTTAAGTTTTTTTGAATTTTATGTTTTATTTTGCTTAAGTATATTCTACTGTTTTTTTAATTGTAATATTATCTTTTGTAATCCTATGTTTTTATATATTTATTTTTGATTTTACAAATAATTTTTTTTTCTAATACTTAAACCGGTCTCACCAATGAAAACATATTTAGTAAAAATATCATAAAAAATTTCAAACAATAAATAAATATTATAAATAATATTAAAAAATTCTTAATGATACTTTATGAGTATCACCTATGACCATTCTGTAAGACCATCTCCAATGTATTTCCTTATTTTTAGCTCTATCTCTATAATAGAGGTAAATTTTCTCTATTTTTACTCCAATGTGTTTCTCTATTTTTTCCTCTAAAAAGTTTAACTCTATTTATAGAGGAAAAAATAGAGATTATCTATTCTCACCTCTATATATAGAGAAAAAAATAGAGATCTCTATTTTAGAGGTGAAAATAGAGGTGGGTTGGAGTAAATTTGCCTTTAAAATAGAGTTTAGAGGCAAATATAGAAGTGAGTTGGAGATACTCTAAGGTTATCTATTTTTGGTTAAAGGGGTGTACATATACTTCTTTACTTAACAATTAAACTTGTGGTTCTGGATTGTGTTAGGAAAGCCACAGTTCTTAACAGTAGTTTTTAATGAACCGTCGTGTACAGCATTTTGTCCGCTTCTTAATCCGACGGTCAAGATTGCGAAAGGCAGAATCTGGCCTGTGGCCGTTACGTTGCTGGCCGGCTTTTAAAAATACTCTTCAAGTGGGTCTCTAATATTCATTTTACTTATTAACAGTCTTACCGGTCAAAACCGAATATTAGCCGACAACTTGATCATTGTTTTTTCATAACTAGAACTCATGTACCAGAACCCAAACCGATCTGAGATCTAACTGTCGTTTGATTTATACATGTAGTGTGGCCAAACATGTATCATATCGAATTTCTTCAAATTGAAACAAGTTGACCATGCATGATTATTGTTTTAATGTTAAAAGTTTGGAATAATAAAAGTAGTTTGTTTTTAGTCAAAGCCTTTGATCACGTATACGTCAGTCTTGTTCATGAAACAAACTTAACATTATATGAGAAAATTGAATTAGAAGTGTGACAATAATTGCCTTGGAGAAACAGAAAGGGGAAATGGGTACCGTGTATCTCTTGTCCCAAAGGACATTGAAAAGCTAACAACCATACACTTGGCTCCGCTTAAGGCTTTAAAATGGACCATGTTTTGTGGTAGACCTACACATTACTCTTCTTTCAATATTTGTCTTCCTCTTTATTCTATGCATTGAATAGACCCACTTCTCATTTTTAAACAAATAGGTGTATTTCAATGTTTTACTTATTTTTAAAGAATAGTACTGTAGTATCTTCGATCTGTGGAATTGTGAAAGAGTGTTCTACTTTAGTGACAAAAAAAAAAAGTTTGTTGGAACTTGGAAGAACTGAAAATAAGTCCCAACTACTTAAAACGGCATGGAGTTTTGGCATCCGTGTTACAAACGGAATGTGGCTTGAGAGAAATGGATCTAAACGTAAATAACTAAAAGTAAGAACCCTTAATCGAAATTACATGAATATGAAAGGATATAATCATAAATGCCTCTCCCGTTTATGTCGAGACGACGTTCAAAACTACAATCAACGGTGATCTATTTCGCCGGGAACGGAGAAGAAAACCCTAGATATGGCGGAGAAGCTTGCGCCAGAGAAGCGACATGATTTCATTCACAACGGTTTCTCATTTTCTCAGTTCTCTCTATTTCTGTTATTGCAGTCTGATTTCATTCACGAGATTTGATTTGATCGATTAAGTTCTTCGATTTCCGATGGTTATAGGGCAAAAGGTATTTGAGTGGGATCAAACCTTAGAAGAAGTGAACTTGTACATAACTTTGCCTCCCAATGTTCATCTAAAGGCTTTCCACTGCAAAATCCAGTCGAAACATATCGAAGTTGGTATCAAAGGCAACCCTCCTTATCTCAATGTCAGTTTCTTGTGCTAGCTTTCAACGTTTTTGATCTGTTTCTCTCACCAATCGGAGAAATTCGATGTGTTATAGCTCGACTCGATTGTTTAACATTTGACAAATTTCAGCATGATCTTAGTGCTCCTGTGAAGACGGATTGCTCGTTCTGGACTCTAGGTACTCTGATTTCCTTGTAAAGATTTGATGGTTAGGTCACTGTGACTAGATTTACTATATGTATAAACCAGTTTCATTGCTAGAGAGGATAATTTGAACCTGAAAATTGTTATCTGAGTTTTGGTATAAATATGTAAATATAGTTTGGAATATGCAAAATTTGAGACTATATGATGGATGATGGAATGTTGTACAACTATTGTGTTTGGATCTTGAGTATGCAAGAGTATGAAGTTCTCGGTTGCAGTGATCTAAGAATTTGTAATTGGGTTATTATCAGCATCTGTATAAGATTTCTACTGTTTAGGTTCATATTCTTGCTAACTCTTATGTTTGATTTGGCAGAGGATGATATAATGCACATTACCCTGCAGAAGAGGGAGAAGGGGCAGACATGGGCATCGCCGATTCTGGGACAGGGTCAGTTGGATCCTTACGCCACTGATCTTGAGCAGAAGCGCCTCATGCTCCAGAGGTTTCAAGAAGAGGTTAGCTACCTGTTAAAGTCTTCTTGGTTTCATGTGGTTTCTGCTTTTGCAAAAATAAAATAAAAAAAGTCTTGTTGAAGTCTATCTTGGTCATCTAATTGATCTCCAAAGCAAATCTTAGGCACCATCCACTGGGTAGAATGAATCTATGTGAAAATATGATTACTTTGCCATAGATGATCCGTTTTGGAAGAGTCATGTGTAATCGCATGGATTGTTTTCTTTGTTCAAACTCTCTTATTTTGTTTCTTGTGTCTCTCAAGTAGTGAATTTTTTGTGTTCATGGATAACCAGTCTGCATAGAGCTGGTGATAGTTAACCTATAGTGTAACCAGATTCTTATCAGTTTCATGAATAATCAGTCATAGAGCTGGTGATAGTAAAGCTATGGTGGATGAAATTGCTCACTCTTAGTCTAACCCGATTGAGCAAATTAATATGACCACATGGGTCTGATCCATGCATGCCTTAATGGCTTTGTCTTAGTGGTTTTGGTTCTACTTGTATGCATGACTTTCTATTTACTTTGTCTTGAGCTCAAGTATGCTTTTTTTTTTCTCTTTCGATCAGTTTTCTTTTGACATATTCTTTCTCTGTTGGTTTTTGCAGAACCCAGGATTCGACTTTTCGCAAGCTCAGTTCACGGGTAATTGTCCAGATCCAAGGAGCTTCATGGGGGGTATTCGTTCTGACTAAATATAGTCCTTCCACTATTGTTGCTATAGTAGTATGTTCAATATAAACTCAAAAGTCACTACAAAATGTCTCCTGGCTCATAAATAAACGCCCTGACTCTCTGTTTCTATAACTCGTAATGGCAAATCTTATAACTAGTCTTTCGTCTCTGTTTAGTTATCTTTTTCTTCCCGACAACAGAATCGAAACATCAACTAAAGTCCACTGAGCCGCCATGCATTCATCTCCACTTCGAATCTTGTTTTGGTATTTGACAGCTTTTCAAAAAGATATTCTGGAGGAACATAAGGAATTTGAACAAAATAAATTGGAGAAAAAATCATCTTTCTCTATTTGAAAATTTTAATAAATGATTTTATCTACTATACATTTTTGCAACACTTTTTGGGATTCCTAATCGGATCAAATTTTGTTTAATTTTGACCCGGAAATCTTCAATCAGATCGTTCCTTATTTTTGACAAAATTAAAAAACGAAAATTAATCAATAAAATCTAAAAAATATATATTTTCTCAACTAATTACTATACTTAAACTCTTTATTATGGCATATTCTCTACAATTTTTATAGATATAGAAATCAAATATGATTATTTAATGCTAATATAACAAATTTGAACTAATTTCCTAAAACCTCTCTACCTAATTAAAACATAACTATATGATTCTCATTTCACTTTTATATGATCTTATATTTATATTATTTTGAACTATTATAAAATATATATACTTAATAAAAAAAATTCGATTTTTTTCTGCATTTGCTATGATTCAAATTTTTTAAAACGGATATATATTACTCAATCGATGAAGAAAAAAGTATGTGTACAATCTTTTTTTTTTTTTTGACAGCAAGTATGTGTACAATCTATATTAACATTTTTTGAAAAACAAATTTGCTCGTTTAATCAGGTCGTATTTTTTTTTTACTCTGACCCGGAATTGAGTCATTCAGATATTTTCTTAATTTCTACAATCATCTAAAACGGGACAATATACCACGGTGAAATCTTAAAATTAACAAATCGAAATACAATTATTTAGTATTTTAATATACATTTTTAAAATATTTTTACGGGTTGGTCTAAAAACACACACTAATTTGAAAATATATATATATATATATATATATATATATATATATATATATATATATATATATATTATAGAAACTATTTGAAAGCAAACTTTTAAATTGACTCGAATTATATGTCTTTTAAATAAAAGTGTTATTAAAAGAAATAACAAAATGATGTTTAATTTTACGGGACATGATTATATGGTGGGACGGGTCGGATTTGGATTGATATTAATACGGGATAATATATCACGGGTGAAATCCTGGGATTAACAAATCAAAATACAATTATACAATTTAAACACTAAACAAAACAAATACAACTTAAAATTTTCATTTTTAGTTACAACGCATGTGACTCGCAATGTACAACAAAAAATATTATATACAACAAATTCATCAGTTTATAAAAAGACAAAAAAAATCAAATAATTAACCCGTGGTGTACCGCGGGTAACAATCTAGTTATTTTACATAAACCAAGAGAAAAGAGAGCTTTATTATTAGGCGCGCGTCATCTCCCTCGCGACACATATCATAAGACAGAGAAGAGGAACGAATCTCAAGACGTTACGTATTAGCTTATAGCCATTATTAGTTTTGTCTCTTCTACTAGTTCGTTGGTCGTCTTCTTCGTCTTAGTAATTCCATGATTCTTCTTCCTTCTGCTTCACCTTCCCGATGACCCTCTGCACAAGCCGCGATCATGACGCTAAATCCTCCTCCGTCGCAGCAAACGCCTCAGTCGCCGCGTCGGATTCCCAATCGCCGCGTTCTCATCGTCGGGAATTACTGCCACGACGTTCTGATCCAAAACGGATCCGTCGTAGCTGAAACACTCGGCGGCGCCGCCTCTTTCATCTCTAATGTCCTAGATTCTTCCTCTGTATCCTGCGAATTGGTCTCCAAAGTCGGACACGACTTCAGATACGAGGTTATCCACTCTCCGATCGTGGCTCCGGACAAAGAAACCACAATTTTCGAGGCGTATTTCGATCTGGGAATCGATGGGATCGGTCACGCTGATCGGGTGTTGAAACGGGTCTCTGCATGTGATCCGATTCTTCCTTCGGATATACCCGATTCGAGATTCGATTTCGGGATGGCTGTTGGAGTCGGTGGCGAGATTTTACCGGAGACGCTTGAGAAAATGGTGGAGATCTGCGACGTTGTTGCTGTGGATATTCAAGCTTTGATTAGGGTTTTTGATCCCGTGGATGGAGCTGTGAAGCTTGTTGATTTGAAAGAAAGTGGATTTTTTCACATCTTGCATCGAATTGGATTCTTGAAAGCTTCATCAGACGAAGCTCTTTTCATGGATGTTGAACAAATGAAGCAGCTGTGTTGTGTGGTGGTGACTAATGGTGAAAAAGGGTGTAGGATTTATCATATGGATGATGAAATGACGGTTCCTCCGTTCTTGGCGAAGCAGGTGGATCCTACCGGCGCCGGAGATAGCTTTCTCGGAGGTTTGGTTGTTGGGCTTGTAGAAGGTTTGACTGTTCCTGATGCTGCATTGTTAGGGAACCTCTTTGGTTCCATCACTGTAGAGCATATTGGTCAGCCAAAGTTCGATTTGATGATGCTTCAGGTTTGATTTGTTGTCTCGTATTAGATTATTGAATTGCATGTTGTGAGGGAATTGCAAATGTCTTTAATATAATCCTAGTAAGAACCAGTACCAGATTTTTGTTTGTGTTTAGTTTCTCTTATTAGCAGTAAGAACCAGTACCAGATTTTTGTTTGTGTTTAGTTTCTCTTATTAGCAGTTACAACCTTGCAGCTTACTTTCGATAGGTTTCCAATATGAAAATGTGACAAATCTTCACATTTGTTGTTTAAGATTCTGCTGAGAGAGTCTTTTCTTGTTTTAATTCATTCTTAATATAGCAGCAGTTGTGTTCAACATAGGTTAGATGCAGGAAAAAGTGTTGTTAAGCATTAACGGAACAATGTGGTTAAGTAATAAGAGAATTCAAAAGTATGGATCTCTTGATGTATATGTGAGTGTTTCTGTGTAGTATCTTTTATAGTTTTGTCTGTTGAAATGAGGGAAGTATTGGATAGAAATTGGACCACTGGCTAGTGCAAGTGAACATTATGCTTTTTAGAAGATTTATTGCGTTTGTGTATGCTTAAGGATTTATCCCTTTCATCTGTTATTGGCATCTTCCATTTACTAACTCCTGTCTTTGTGACAAATCTTCACATTTGTGATTTGCAGAGAGTCAAGGATGAGGTACAGAAAAGGAAGAAGCAATGTAACCTCTCTAGCAGCCATAAAAATGATCACAATGAGTTCCATGAGCGTCTAAGTCCAGCTCGGTTTTCATGCGTAGACTCTCAACTTCAACCAAAGTTATTGGTCAATGGTCACTCCTGTGACAGGTGATGATGATCGGTCCCGGTGAATACGAATCTTGAATCACTACTAACAAAGCTCTTCTGAGTTGTGTAAGCTTCCACACGTTGATGAATTTTGGAAATTTTAGTGTATAAAACGCGATGACCATCGTCTTCAAACGCTCTTTGTTGTCGCTATCGTAAAGTTTCTTAGCAAGTCCGCGTTTCAAATTCGAAATGAAGATGTCAAATTTTTTTAAAAAGTTTTGGATAAGATGATTTGACTAAAAAAAACTGATCAAATTAACGAAAGTCAACATGGGAAACGTAAATTTGACTGGTTCACGGTTGAACCGGGAGACGAAACCGGTTCAATATATGTACAATCAGGAGGAAACCGCGTTCGGTGTTTGATTCGTGCGCGTGGATTAAAAACGGGGTCACGATCAGGCGCGTGGATTGACGTGGCGATTCAGATTCCCAATCAAATCTGGACGAGCAAAATTTCCTCTGATATTGGCATCTTCCATTTACTAACTCCTGATTTACGGTTAAAACTCCTCTTCCCTCTCTCCGACGTTTCTCGTCGGAAATTTGGGTTTAGTTTGTTCTGCAGATCGGAAGAGATTCTATTGGTGCGGCGTTGACTCGATTTTCTTCTATAATCGTGCGATAATGAAGCAGAAGGGCCAGCATAAGAAGAAGAAGAAGCGATCCTGCGCCGCGAAATCTTCCGGTGATGGAACGGCGTCGGACGGGAACAAAAAAGATGTGGAGGAGGAGAGGAAAGACGGTGAAGGTACGAAGGAGTTAGAAAAAGTTGAAAAAAAAATTATCGAATCGTTAATGGAAGCCTTTTGCTCGGTTTCAATGGAGGAAGCGATGGCTGCTTATAAAGAAGCAGGCGGAGATCTGAACAAAGCCGCAGAGATTTTGTCGGATCTGGTGGAAAGCGGCGATGATCCGTCGACGAGTTCGGTGGCGAGTGGTTCTTCGGGTCAGGAGACCGCGTCTACCTCTGAGTATGGGGCTGGTTCAAGCTCTAGCTGTAGCGAAGATTTGACTAGAGATAGATGGTTTAAGGGAAACAAGCAGAGTAGAGTTATTGCTGCTACAGGGATGGTTTCTTCTGTGATTGCTAAGGATTACTTGAAGCCAAACTCTGTGCGAAAAGAGTTTCCTATGATGGAAAGGTCTAAAGAGCTCTGTGGGAACGGGAAAAAAGCTGCGGATAGAGAGAAAGCTGAACAGTTTCTGAATTCAATGCTTGGAGATGATTGCGAGCTTAGCATGGCTGTTGTTAGAGATGTTTTGTGTGAGTATTTCTTCTTCTTAGTCAGTTAATTTCTCCATGGGAAAAGATGTTATTGGAGCTGTATGATCCTTAATAGTTAGTGGTATTCGAAATAGCCGTAATATTGTTATGAAGAGAGACTTGATTGTTCGACAAATTGACATGGAAGTCTATATTTTCTTTGCAGGTCAATGTGGCTATGATGTCGACATGGTAAGCAGAGATTGTCTTGAAACTTACATGGGGAAGTATTTGGTATATTGACAGGGAAGCTCCTGAAATATGCTGATACTTGCCCGACCATTTATTTTAAAGCTTAATATTGTTTTCTTCTTAGGCTTTGAATGTCTTGCTTGACATGTCTTCTTCATCAACTGATGATTCATTGAGTGGTAAATGTTTCGGCATAGGCGCCAGCGGTAGTGTAAGCGATTGCTTTTTTTTTGGTTTTCTTCACAGATCTATTTATTTGGTTTTCCTACACAGTAGAATAAAGTGCAATCCCTGACATTATTTAACAGCTGGCAGAGACATCTTTTGATACTGATACTTCTGAAAGTGAACTTTTCTGGGGTGTAGATAGTCAAAGGTACTTCCATTTGATTCTTAGGCTTTCTTCTGGTTATTTCAATTCACTAATTTTGGAATTATCAGAGTTGATTTACACATTAGTTACAAGATAATTAGCTCTCTGCAACTTCTCCTTGGTTTATCTTTAATCAGTCCTTATCCTCTTCTGTGAAAGAACAACAAACGAACTATTTCATGTGGAGGATTCAGTTCACGAAATGATATTGACAGCCAAAACATAATTGCTTAATTTCAACATTATGGACGAGGTCAAAACTAAATATGTGGCCTTCTTTTCTTCTTTTTTTTTCTGAATGGTAGGGATTACGCAAAAGCTCTCATGAGTTCTGAAGATCCTTTTGCAACTACCCAAGGAATTGATGAGCTTGGTCTTCCACAAAAAGTGTTGGAGTCTCTGTTCAACATTCGCCAGAGTCCTAAACATGAACCAAAGACAATGAGTTGGAGGAATGTGGCAAAGAAAATGCAGTCACTTGGCATTGATACTTCTTCATCTAGTGGGGAAGAGCCTCAGCCTAATACGTTTGGTACTTAACCATGGTTTCTTGATTTTAGTATTTGCATATATAGCTGCAAATAGCAGGCTCATTTTGCCATGAGTTTGCAGGCTCCGAGCTTCTGATGTATGTTGTTTTACCCGATGAAACACTTGGCAATTTTTGCTTTGGTGTCATTGGCATAAACATCTGAGGTTTTGACTGCTTGTTTGTGTTGCGTTGCAACTCTTGAATTATTCTTTCTTACTCATGAATTGCATTACCAATCAATCAATCAATACGTTTGTTGCAGTGAAGGATGACAGTTATCATGAACTTAGAAAAGGTGCAAATGACCAGTGGAATGTTACGAAGTCCTACTATCAAAAAGTAAGTTTTACTTGCTTCCGTATATCTGGCTCTGGTAGACTCCTCAATTAATGCATTTATTACTTGGTTTAAGGCTGCTGAAGCATATTCAAAAGGAGGGAGGGCTCATGCGGCTTACCTTTCTGACAAGGTGCATCTCATTCACGATTTATGTATATCATGCTATTATGGCATTTTGTTTGGAAGTATGACATAAACTTGTGTCTTTATTCTTATAGGGGAGGGTGGCATCTAAATTAGCTCAACGGGCTGATGAGAGGGCAAGCCAAGATATATTCGTCGCAAGGTTAGCTGTTTTGATGCTTTATGAAAGTATGCCGATACGCGTTCTCTTTTTGTTGTGGACTAAGCCGTTCTCTTTTTGTTGTGGACTAAGCCATTGTTTATGACTATGCAGAAACAAAGGTATAGAGAATGTGGTAACCATTGATCTGCATGGTCAGCATGTTAAACCAGCAATGAAGCTACTGAAGCTACATCTCTTATTTGGATTATATGTTCCTTGTGAGTACTTACCAAACTCAAAGAAATCTTTTCTTCTTTAGTAGATCATCATCATCATCTCATCTTGTCTTCATAAACCCGAGATAATTCCTTCCTCCTAACAATTGTGAAATCATCCAGCCATTCAGACACTACGAGTGATCACAGGATGTGGAGCTTCTGGGTTTGGGAAGTCTAAGGTGAAACAATCAGTAAGTTATTTCAACTCCCTTTCACAGCTAAACCGAATACGAAAACAAGAATTTAGTATTGCAGTCATGGTATATGATTGTTATTTATGGATGATCAGGTGATAAAGCTGCTAGAAAGAGAAAAGGTTGGGTATTGTGAAGCTTTAGATCTTAAAGTTTATATCTGTTTGTCTATATCTGATGCTAGCTCTGTTTGTTAAGTAAATGTAAGTGAAAACTAAACTAAAGTCAGGTTTTAGCTTTAGATCTTAAAGTTTATATCTGTTTGTCTATATCTGATGCTAGCTCTGTTTGTTAAGTAAATGTTGAGCAAAACTTATAAGTATTCCTTAGTTTCCTTTTCCGAATTTCACGCTATTTATTAAGTTATGAAAACACTTCATCTGACACAGACAGAATGTATATTTTCCGTAAACTCTTTTTTAGGAGTTTGTTAATATATATGTTATTGTGTCACTTTTATAATTTCTAAAAAAGTAGACCAAGCATAACGGTATAAGTGCAGGGTTTTTGCTAGTGGTAGACGTTTGTGCATGAGACAGACATAGCTTGTGTAAAAAGCAGACGGTAAAAATAAAGCCAGAACGGTAGAATCTTTCGTTAAGTGACTCAGAGATCCGTTTTAACAAAAGTCATCAAGCACTAGAGCTCACATCAATGGAGGATCAGATGGAGAAAACTCCATGAGAGCTGAGTTACAGAGGAATGAGAGCTGAGTTACAGAGGAAGTTCACCACTGTCCACGATCACCACTTTACTCTTAGGAGTTCCACTCTGATTTCCTTCAGCTTCGATTTTGTACACCACATCCATTCCCGTCACTACCTTCCCGAATACCACATGCCGCCCATCCAACCTGCAAGCTCTCTAATCAGCAGACGGAAACAACAATTCTATTCCACAATTGAAACTCTTATTAAGCTTAGTAAAGTACCAATATGCCCACTATTGTCAAACAACTTGAAAGCAAAAGATAAGAAAGTGGATTTATGTGTTTGAAATTCGGCTGATTTGGTACTCACCAGCTAGTTGTTACAGTTGTGATGAAAAACTGTGATCCGTTGGTGTCTTGACCGGCGTTTGCCATTGATAGGAACCCTGTGAAAAAGTAAAACAATTGATAAGGTAAAAACCTCTGCATACGCAAAAAGCCGAGGTAAACACAGAATACTGAAGAAGAGCTCACCTGGACCAGTATGCTTGAGTTTGAAGTTCTCATCAGCAAACGTCTCACCATAGATAGATTCTCCTCCCATTCCATTTCCATGTGTAAAATCGCCTCCTTGAAGCATAAAGCTTGGTATGATCCTGTGGAATGAACTCCCCTTGTAATGGAGAGCCTTCCCTTTCTTACCTATTCCTTTCTCCCCTGTGAGTATACAGTTTATGTAAGCATTCATATCAAGGTAGATAAACTACTATGCTGGCAAAGTTATCAAATTACTCGATTGACATAGGATGAGAATGAGCAATATATTCTTTTCTTACCTGTGCATAGAGCTCGGAAATTCTCGACAGTTTTGGGGACTGTCTTGCCAAATAGACCCATGACAATACGACCTGGACAAAAATCATCAATCGGTATGAGATGTTTTCAGGGGACAAGGCAAGAAGAAATCACAAAGCATTTCAGTAGTCTAACATAGAGCACAAGAACTAAATGCACCAGCATGCATCAAAAGAATAAATTTAGGAACAAGGTCATACCGGCTGCTTTCCCATCAATTTCGACATCGAAATAAACCTTGTGTGTGATCTCCTTCACGTTTTCTTTAGACTTTTTGGCCTGAAACATAGAACCAAACATCCATAGATCAATGTAAACACTAGATAGCAACCGTTTCATAATATTAACATCATTCCAATACATTTGGACTTAAATTAGGCGCACTTCATGAAGTAACTAAAGGATCAAATTCAGATTTTCCAAACAACCATATAGTAATTCAACAGACCTCCTTCAGATTCACATCTCAAACACTAGATGACTCACGATGAACGTATATAATGGTTTGTCTCTGATCCTACGGGAAATTATCCAAATCGCCCGCGATAAAGATGATGGAAACTAATATCAGAAACATGTCACATCAAACATCGAATCAAAAAAACAATCAACATGAAGACCTAAGACAAAATTTACCATAACCAATCGCAATCAAATTGGTATTATCTAGATCGTGCAAAATCTAAGAACTCAATCATAAACCTTTGCAGCTTATAGATCGAATAGTGAGAAGGAAACAAAAGAATGTACCTGAATAGCGCTTAGGGTTCCGAGAAGAAGAAGACTCCATAGAAGCAGCGTCACTGAGCTCGCCATCTCCTCGCACCGTTGTTTCTTCTCTACAGTCCCTTTTTTTTTTTTTTTTCCGTGTGCACACTTCTATTTCCACCAAAGCCACGTCGATATCCAATGAAATCCCGCCACCTGGCTTGTACGTCGTGTACAATTGTACTTGGGCCGCGGATCCTTTTAGAACCGTAATGGGCTAATGAGTGGTTATTTATAGCCCATAATCTATCAACGTGAAAGAATTCTATGATTAACAAATGATAACTCTCTTGATAACCAAAATAATTAATAATTGAAGGAGTTGGTAACCCTAATGGAAGAGATGGGAGGATCGGATACACAAGTCTTTTTTAATAATCTTAGTCAAATACACTCAACATCAATACCATAAGCATGTCACATTACCTTTGTTCCAGCTAATATTATTCTGGTTATATAACTTTATAAGTGGTTTTAATAAATATTAATTGTCAGTATCATTTAATTAAGCACGTTTCCATTCATATTAAGAATTCGTTTATATTAAAATATTGTCAACTTTTCATGGCCAGTCTTTTAGTAATTTTCTTTTGCTAGATCACTAATACAAGTTTTTTTTTTTTGGACAAATAATACAAGTTTTTTTCACAACTAATAACATAAAATATGTCTTTATTTTACTATTAGTAAAAAGGCAAGATAATTTCTTAACTTTTGGCCTAAAGGGCTAAAATGGATTTGGAAAGACAATAGACCTGGCATCTGGACCACCAATATACCAAACCCTTTTTTGTTGTCGCCTTCCTATTGCAACATATCTAATCGGGGTTTTTTTTTGGCCGACATCTGAAATCTGTTTTTCCAAAATTAAATTGAATTTCGCTTTTCCTTGTTTTTAACATAAAACATCATTTGATATAGAATTAAAGATATTCAACCAATAATTTTTTTTTTAGCAAATTATGTATTTAGTTAACGATTAATAACAATTAACAAAGCAAGATAATTTTATTTTTGGACTTTTGGTCTAAAAGTGACATCATGAATAGGAGGTACCGAAACCATGAACATGATGTTATATGTTTCACACAGATTCAAAAGATCTTATCCAAAGCTTTCAAAACTATACAGTTTGGCCCGCCACTTAAATCTATCAACAATATATTCAAACACCAACATCTTATTTTGATAAAGAAATTATGAACTTTACCTCTCCAGAGTGTAATCGTGCGGTGGATAATTGTGTATCGATATGTATGGTTACAAAACTTGCAATAATAGACGATATTCTTGGAGTTATTTCAATGGAAGAATGTATGTATGTGTGTTGTGAGAGAAGAAAAACAAAGAAAAAAACACAACAAAAGCTTTAGATCTGCATCTGTCCCACCAATGTAGCCACTTCTTTTTTTGTTGCTTTGCTATTTCAACATATCTGAATATTGCTTTTTTATTTAATCTCTATCTTGTGTTCACACTTCACACAATCATGAAAATATTGAAGAGCATATATTAGTTTGTGTTTTAGTTCATCTAGTAGTAGTTAGCTCTTGAGTTTTCAAATATCTTTTATATTATCTTATGGTAATTATGGGGAGGGACAAACAATTAACACCTGGCAATATATATCTCATCAGTAAGTACTATTTTTACTCATCCCTCTAAATTAGTCAATTTTTTTCTCTGGGTTTAGAATTAACGAGGATAATTGTGACTATTTGTAAATTATTACATATCTAAAGAAACGAGATTCAGTAAAAAAGTTTTTGTTTTTGTTTTTTTTTGTGTTCAGGTGTGAGCGTGTAAGAGAGGTTTGACGAGGTTTTCTCTGAAATGGTTTCGAAATTTTTTTAAAATATTAAAATCGAGGAACAATCTGAGTATTTAAGTAGAATCAGAAAAGGTACCACCTTTTCACATTCTTGGATCTGAAACAAGACGACGATACATACACATATACATACATATGGAGGGAAAAAGAGAGATGGGTAGTTACAAATTCTGTCTGATCTTCACGAGGAAGTTCAGGATGACGGAGTCTGGTCCTGTCGCTGACGTCAGAGAGCTTTTCGAGAAATACGCCGACGGTGAAGCTCACATGTCGCCGGAGCAGCTACAGAAGCTTATGGCGGAGGAAGGAGGAGGAGGAGGAGAAACAAGTCTAGAGGAAGCGGAGAGAATCGTTGACGAGGTTCTTCGCCGGAGACATCACATTGCAAAGTTCACCAGAAGAAACCTTACTCTTGATGATTTCAATTATTACCTCTTTTCTACTGATCTTAATCCTCCAATCGGCGATCAGGTTTAAACTTTAAATTTTCAAGTCAACCTCTTTTTTTTTTTTTTTTACCTGGGAAAAAAAGTTTCGGACTTTTTTTGGAATCTGGGATTGATTGTGTTTGTTTCTTGATAAAGATTAAGATTGAAAGATTACCGGACTTTAGATTCTCTCTGTTGATTTTACCGGAAAATCTCAGAATTTTTTTGGAGGTTTTCTCTCTCTCATCGCTATTTGACTCTTTTCTCTTTTTGCTAATTTCTGGATTTAGTGGCCTAAATTAGTTTTTGATCAGAGAAAATAAAATTCTCCTCTTTTGGTAGCTTCTTAGTGCTTATGAATAATCAAACCCAATAAAAGAGGTGAAAATGTTCTCAATGATATGTTCTTGGTGTACTCTGCTGCTGAAATTCTGGAATCTGACTGTTTGATTCACCTGTCTAAATTTAGAAGTTTCCATTTTGGATACTTTCTATTCGAGGAGTTGTTTACTTCTGCAGATCTTATAAGTAACCATTGTTGGGTGTTTATTTCAGGTCCATCAAAACATGGATGCTCCACTGTCGCATTACTTTATATACACAGGCCATAATTCGTACTTAACTGGAAATCAGCTCAGTAGCAACTGCAGTGAACTTCCTATTGCAGATGCATTGAGACGAGGCGTGAGAGTGGTTGAGTTGGATCTTTGGCCACGTGGTACCGATGATGTCTGTGTTAAACATGGAAGGTATATTATCTAGTTTGTATCTTGCTTTTGTATGGGTTGGTTCCATGGAACTGTATGTTTTCTCACTTTGATGAAACTACAGGACCTTGACAAAGGAAGTGAAATTGGGGAAATGTTTGGATTCCATTAAAGCTAATGCCTTTGTTACTTCAAAGTATCCTGTTATTATCACTCTTGAAGACCATCTCACGCCAAAACTTCAGTTTAAAGTTGCCAAGGTTTTTTTTCTTTTCACCCTATATAGTCTTCAGACCTTTAAAATTATGGTTCCATTTGTGTATATATGAATACCGCAAATTGTTTGCTCTTTCCGCAGATGATAACTCAGACATTTGGAGATATGTTGTATTACCATGATTCTGAAAGTTGTCAAGAATTTCCTTCACCTGAAGAGTTGAAGGAAAAGATTCTAATTTCAACAAAACCTCCAAAAGAGTACTTAGAAGCTAACGATGCGAAGGAGAAAGATAGTGGAGAGAAAGGGAAGGATTCGGATGAGGATGTATGGGGCAAAGAGCCAGAAGACCTTATTTCTACGCAATCTGATCTTGAGAAGGTTTGTTCTAGCTTTGCAACTGTATATCAAAATAACAATTGAAGCAAAAACTTTTAGCATCAAGGGTTTTGCTTGATTGTGCATGTTCATTTTCTCCAATTCATATTGTTGTTGATTGATTTCAGGTCACAAGCAGTGTAAATGATCTCAGTCAAGATGAGGAAGAAAGGGGGTCTTGTGAGTCTGATACGTCATGCCAATTACAAGCACCAGAATACAAGCGTCTTATTGCTATCCATGCTGGGAAGCCAAAAGGCGGTTTACGGATGGCTTTAAAGGTTGATCCAAATAAAATCAGGCGACTTAGTCTGAGTGAGCAATTACTTGAGAAAGCTGTAGCATCATATGGTGCAGATGTTATCAGGTATATATATCACATTCTAAATAAGCACTGTATAGCTAGTGTTTGCTCCTTGTATTTCAAGTTTAATATATTAAAACCCTCACAATTGAGCAGATTCACTCGGAAGAATTTTCTGAGGATATATCCCAAAGGCACAAGGTTTAACTCTTCAAACTATAAACCTCAGATTGGTTGGATGAGCGGAGCTCAAATGATTGCATTCAACATGCAGGTTTGTCTCATATCCTCATTTCCAGCATCGTCATCCAGGTTTTACTGTGATGAAGCTAAATAATAATTGAAAACATAAATGTAGGGGTATGGCAGAGCTTTGTGGCTGATGGAAGGAATGTTTCGAGCAAATGGAGGGTGCGGTTATGTCAAGAAGCCAGATTTTCTTATGGATGCAGGTTCTAATGGACAAGGTTTTTATCCCAAAGATAATTCGTGTCCAAAGAAAACTTTAAAGGTTAGGCTATAGAGTTGAACATTTGTTGGTCCCTTCATCGATGCCTTCCACACTTCTTGCTTAACATCTAAGAATGGCAGGTGAAAGTCCTTATGGGAGATGGATGGCTCCTAGACTTCAAAAAAACTCACTTTGATTCTTATTCTCCTCCAGATTTCTTCGTTAGAGTATGTGAACGGAACTTGATTTTTCCTTTATCCCTTATCTTGATTGAAATGGAACTTTAACTGGTCAATACAGGTGGGTATCGCCGGAGCACCTGTTGATGAGGTGATGGAGAAAACAAAAATAGAGTATGATACATGGACACCCATTTGGAATAAGGAGTTCATATTCCCGTTAGCAGTTCCTGAACTTGCTCTGCTCCGTGTTGAAGTCCATGAGCATGACATAAATGAAAAAGATGATTTTGGAGGTCAAACTTGTTTACCAGTGTCCGAGATAAGGCAAGGCATACACGCTGTTCCACTCTTTAATCGCAAGGGAGTGAAATACAGCTCCACACGGCTTCTTATGCGCTTTGAGTTTGTCTGAGACGCCATTTTTGGTGCGTGTATCCATCTAGATTTATATCTTCTTACTTTATTCGGTATGTTGTGTGTTTATGTGTCTTATGCTTCTTCATTGAGGAATAAAATTTGATCTTTTAAATGAGAAATATATAGATCTTCCGAAATTCCTTTCCTTTATGGTTTCGTTTATATATGGTACCAGTTTCTTGGTCTTGGGATGAAGTTTTATTAAAGAAGAACTAAAACAAAGAACTTCTAATGAACTTATTAATAACATTAATAAGCATCTCTCATCTTATCATAAAAACATAATCTGTTTATTCTTGTTCTGGATTATTTGGTATTGGATAGCTTAAAGTAGTTATTTATACGCATGAGGACTTATAGATCAAGAAGCTTCATATCTTTAGCTACATTGTTAGTTGTTTAAGCCTTTGTCTCTCTGTTTGCTGCACTAAACACGTGAAATTCTGAAGTGGAGTATATATTCTGGAATCTTTTGTTGTTATATGAATCTCTTTACGCCTATTAATCAATTTTCTTAGCATTGCTTTACATTTAACAACTTAAAGGTATATATTCTTAATCCATAGACAAAGACCACACCACCCATATATGCTTATTAGTGAAGAAAAACAGATTCTTGATTCTGTTTTATCTTTGGAAAGATTGGTAACTTACAGATGTATTGAGATTCTTCGACGACTTTAGGAGCATTTTAACAGTGACTTGAAAGAATTTGCATACCGTGAAATGTGGAAGGAAAGAAAGAAAATGAAAAGTGTTGAGAAACCCAATCGTTGAATCCATGAGCTTCCTTGAGCTACATCATATGCTTCTGGAATTAGATACCATAATACTTGTTTAAGCTGGTTTTTTGGAAAGTAAGATTTTTCAACATGAGTCTCTTGGCTAGGAATATATGAAAAAAAAAGAAGAGGAAAGCTAAGAGCACTGAGCACAAAGAGGCATACCAATATATAATTATAATAAAGTATGGAAGGAAAAAGAACGATTAATTTATATTTGATTTATGAGTATGAAGATCATGCCAAATATGCAGGAGTTGTTATGTAACTAAATTGCAGAAACTTTTTGAAGAGTATCCACGCGGTGAAAAATATAAATAGAGGTTGGCTGGTGTGATTGTGAAGTATCTTGTCGACTTTTCTCGAGCTGAGATTTCGATTTGGGGGTACAAAGACCTGGAATGAAGAGAGAGATGGGGAGATACAAAATGGGTTTGTGTTTCAGTGACAAGCTCAGGATGAACAGAGGAGCTCCACCTCCGGATGTAGTGACCGCGTTTGTAGAGTATACCGAGGGCAGGAACCACATGACGGCAGAGCAGCTATGTCGGTTCTTGGTTGAGGCGCAGGACGAGACTGAGGTGTTGGTTTCAGATGCAGAGAAGATCATAGAAAGAATCACATGTGAAAGACATCATATCACTAAGTTCTTGAGGCATACGCTGAACCTCGATGATTTCTTCAGTTTCTTGTTCTCAGATGATCTGAATCATTCAATTGATAGTAAGGTATCCAGTTTCAGTTCCTTGTTCTTTTTCTTGCAACATGGAAAGTATCAATCTCTGAGATTTTATTGTTTCAGGTGCATCAAGACATGGCCTCTCCCTTGTCCCACTATTTCATTTACACGAGCCATAATTCGTATCTGACTGGAAATCAGATCAACAGTGAATGCAGCGATGTACCTCTTATAAAGGCATTAAAGAGACGTGTTCGAGCTCTTGAACTTGACCTGTGGCCTAAATCTACTAAGGACGCCAGCGCCACGCTGTTGGGAGGATGGTTGGTGA